TTCGTGGGCGCTCTGGGAAGAGTTTGAAGAATTAAGAAGGCATGGAAAGAAAGCCTTGAAGGCGGTGGAAAGGAGCGTGAGCCTTTCTCCTGAGGGCACTGGGGAGCCATGGCAAGTTCTGGGCAGGGGTGGGACAGGGTCCGGTTTGTTCTTTAGTGTGACCACTCTCCCTTGCTACCTTATCGGAGGGCGGGGCTGTGGAGAGATGGAAGGGAGAGAGGCCCGATTCGGGCAGGAGACCTCGGAAAGGTGGGCCCTGGGTCAGAGCAGGGGCTCCGGGGGGAAAGGGAAGAGTAACCAGATTCTACGAATAGAAACTTGGAGGAAAATGCCTTAGACCAGACTGCTCTCCTTGAGCTAGGAAACGGGCTTCAGGGCTCCCCCGCAGCCACCACCAGGGGGCAGCCAAGGCTACAAGTTTGAATTTCTCAGGGGTTCCTCCCAAGGCAGGGAGGTTTGCACCCGGATTTGGAGGTGGGGGGAGGTTGGAACCGGCTGCGGGGCCCCAGATGAGAGCCCCTCTGCTCTTCTGTCCCCATCCTGGCCTCTCGGGCCCCTGCAGCCCCCACCCCACCAGCACGAGATTATGTCAACACAGACCCGCTGTTTCTGGCCAGGACAATATTTGTCCTCCGGATCTGGGGAGGTCTCTATGGAGACGTGCTGCAAGGGGGAGGGGAGGCTAGGTGGGGGGAGCAGTGCCCACCCCCGTCCGGAAGGGGGTGAGAGGAGCTGGGCATCCTGCCTCATCTCTGTGGGATCGCGTCTGAGAGAGTTTACCCCCACATCCTTCTATCTGCGTCCCAAGACTCTCTCTGTCTCTCTTCCCATCTCTTCCTCCCTCCCATCTCTCCATCTCTGCCTGCTTTTCTTTTTTCTTTTTTTTTAAAGATTTTATTTATTTATTTTTTAGAGAGGGAAGGGAGGGAGAAAGAGAGACAGAGAGAAACATCAATGTGCGGTTGCTGGGGGCCGTGGCCTGCAACCCAGGCATGTACCCTGACTGGGAATCAAACCTGCAACACTTTGGTTCACAGCCCGAACTCAATCCAGTGAGCTACGCCAGCCAGGCCTCTGCCTGCTTTTCTGGTTACCTGCGTCTCAGGTCTCATCTCTCTGGGTCTCTTCCTCTGCTTTTTATTCCCTCTCCCTGGGTCCCCATCTCTATGTTTCTCCACGTGTCCGTCTGTCCAGTGTCACGTCTCTATGTCTCGGTTTCTTTAGAATCCTTGTCTCTCTCTGAGATGCCATGTTTTACCGTGCTTCCTCTCTCTAGGTCTCTGTCTCTGGGTTCCCGTCTTCCTCTGGGTTGTGTGTGAGTGTGTGTGTCCCTGTCCCCAGAGCACTGTCGCTCTGCCTCCCTGGGCCTGTGGCACAGGCCTCAGTCTCCACCTCTCTCTGCCTCTCTCTGGATCCCCGTGTGTGCGAGTATGTCTCTCTCAGCCTGTCTCTCTATTGCTATCTCTCACTCTCTGTATCTCTGTATCTGTGTGTGTGTGTGTGTGTGTGTGTGTGTGTGTCTCTCTCTCTCTCTCTCTCTCTTTGGGTCTCTGTCTTTCAGACCTCCTCTCAGCAGTCCTGAATCTCAGGGGGCCAGCTCAGCCTTCCATTTCTGGTCTCAGTCCCCACGGGGCACCCCCTCTCCCCATCCCTCTCTGCCTCATTTCTCCTGCACCATCTGCTGGCCCTCCAGGCCCCTGCTTGCTCCCTCAGGCTCTGCTTGGCTGGGCAGCCCCACGGGGGAGGCACGGGCCCTCCAGCTTCCTCCCCACATGGCATCCTGGGGTGGAGGCACTGCCTGCTCACTGCTGGGAGGTGGAGGGAGAGGACAACAGGCTAGAAACCCAGAACCAGGGCAATGGAGGGAGAGAAACAGGCAGACAGACATGCAGGGAGAAGATGGGGAAAAGGGGAAGAGAAAGGAGAAAGTTTAAAGACAGGCAAAAGGAGTCTGATCCGGAGAAGGTGAGAGAGCAAGAGAAGTAAGCAGAGGAATGGAATGAACCCCAGGGCAGGGATGGAGAGGAAAGACAGCCCGGCAAGCAAGAGAGGAAGACAGACAAACTGGGTGTGGGCTTGGAGAAAAGGGGACGGGGGATTCGAACCAGAGAGGGAGTGCAGGGGAGGGGGGGCAGGCGGGGAGAGATGGACAGCAGAGAAGGAGAAGGGTGGGGGAAAGGGCATGGCTGCTTCTCTGCCTTCAGTTTCCTGAAGCCCTGAGCATAGGAACTGGGGAGGCCACGCTGTCCCCTCCCCAGGTCTTCAGAGACTGCAGAGGGCCCCAGGAGAGCTGAGAAGAGTAGGGGGCCAGGCAGGGACCCAGGCACCTCCTCTCCTGCCCACCCGCCCACCCTCTCTGCCCCCACTTTGTGCACTGTTCTGCTCTGTGCTGTCCTGGAACGGGTGATGCAGGGCCGCAGGGCTCTCAGCCCAGCACGGCGCTCCTGCATCTCCACAGCTCCCGCCTTGCTCCTCTCCTCAGGGCCCCACACTTCAGGCCCCCTCTCCCTCCACCCCTCCCCATCTTCATCTCTCAATGTCTCCATCTCTGTTTCATTTTTAGAGAGGGAGGGAAGGGAGAAAGAGGGAGAGAAACATCAATGTGTAGTTGCCTCTCATGCGCCCTCATCTGGGGACCTGGCCCACAACCCAAGCATGCGCCCAGACTGGGAAGCTAACTGGAGACCCCTTAGTTCGCACGCAGGCTGGCGCTCAATCTACTGAGCCACACCAGCCAGGGCCCCTGGTTCCTCTTTTTTGTTCTCTGTGTATTTCTGTCCATTTCTATTTCTTTCTGCCTGTCTCTTTCTCTTGGTCTCTCTCATCTCTGTCTCTTCTTGTCTCTGTGCCTGTTCTTTCTTGATCCTTGGTTTCTTTTCCTCTTTCTCTCACCACCTCAATTTCTCTCCACTGCTTCCCCTCCCTCCTAGTCTCTTCCCTCCCCCATTCCAACCCCCCCACCTTCCCAGCCCCAGCAGAGAGACGACCCCCTCCAGGCTCCCTGGGGACCAAGGAGAGACTCTCTCCCACCCCAGCCTCTCCCTGAGGTGCGGGGCAATCTCAGACTCATTTCCCTCTCCAACCCATGAACTGAGCCTTTCCCAGGACCCAGAGGGCGCCAGGAATGTGGGGCAAAGAGCGGGGAGGCCATCTGGAGGCCAGGAAATCAGGACGCCCCCCATGTAACCCCCCTCCCCCCCACTGGCCTCCTTCTTCCCGCCTTGCCTCCTTCTTCCAGCCTCTGGGGCTGCACCTCGAGCCACCCCTTACTCCTGGCCTCTAGGCCTCAGTTTCCCCTCTGCACAATGGGCAGACTCGCCTCTGACCCACTTATCTCTTAGGTCCCAGGGGAGTGTGTGCTCTCGAATGTTGATAGCATGATGAATATGCGTGCATTGGTAGTTTGTATTAAACGGAGCCAAGAGCGCCGAGAGCTGGGACTCCGTTTCTAAGCCTTCCCCCAACATGTACACATGCCCGTCATATTTTAGGGCAAAGGAAGAGTCTGGAAGTGGGGACTGTGAGATGCAGGAGTCAGTGGATTGTGACCCTGAGACCACGTGAGGCCCTGGGTCCCTGTGGGACCCTGTGGGACTGTGGGGTGATGCTGTGTGATTCCCCTGTGACTTCTGAGGGTGGGAGAGGCTGTGATGGAGAGAGCTGTGTGTCTGTACAACCACGGCAGTGGAGGTGACTGTGAGGGTGAGAGCCTGACAGTGTGCTGCTGGGAGTCTGAGAGAGTGTGTGCCTTGGTGACAGTGTGGGGGGTGTCGCTGTGGTGGTGATGTGACTATGTGAAGTGTGTGAAATGCCGGGAGAGAGCTGATGGGCGTGGCTGTGTGACATTGTGAGTTATTACCTATTGTGTGTTATTGAAGGGTTATAGGGCTGTGTGAGGAACCACGCAACTGTGTTTATTTAATCAACAATCATTCTTTGAGGCTTCCTGCTTGGTGCCCAAACCTGTGCCGAGTGATGCCGGGGACCCAGAGATGCCCTGGGCCTGTCTTCAGGGGGCACACAGGCCAGTGCGCCACAGATGGTGTCCGTGATTTGGCCTGGTGACTGTGCGAACGTGTGTGAATCACGCAGCATCGCTGGAACCATGGAAAGTTGTGATCATGTCCATGCCCCAGGACGTGTGACTGTGTGTCCCTGTGGACGAATGCCGACCTGGGGGTGGGAGAGCTGAGCTCTCTGCATGGGACTGCACATTGCACAGCTGCAAACACGCGTGAGGAACATGTTCTGTGAGGAGCAGGGTGTGGTATTCTGTGCTGAGCCTCTCTGTGTCTCAGTTAGTGGGACTGTGTGTGACAACGTGTGGGTGACTTCAGGACTGCCTGAGACTCTGAGGGCGACGGCTGGCTGGGACGGTGTGAGAGACTCCCCGGGGGGGAGGGTCCCCAGGATGATGACTCCACGACTGCTCTCTCGTGTGACCTTGAGTGACTGTGGCTCTCACAGGCGACTGGCCCCTGCTCCCCCTTCCTGTCCCCCCCCCGCCCCCCCCCCGCCAGCCTGGCCCCGCCCCCTCCCACCACCACAGGCTGTCGCCTCTTCCAGAGCCCAGGCACTGCAGTGGAGGCAGCAGCAGAGGCCGCAGCAGGACAGGTGAGGGCTCCCCCAATCCCAGCCCAACCCCCCTACCTACCCCCATGGCCCCCTCACGTCTCTGGGTCCCTCTCTCTTAGTCTATGCCTTTCTCTCTCTCTCTCTCTCTCTCTGCCCACGGTCTCTAACCTCCTGTCTGTCTGTCTCTCCGAATCGTCCCAATCTCTGTCTCCCAATCTCTGTGTTACCTCTACATAGCTCTGTAACCTTTACCTCTTCCCCCATTGTGGTCTGTCTCTGTGTCTCTGTCTCCTCTTTATCTCCCAGCCCACATTTTTGCCTGTTTCTCGGCCTTTTGGTCCCTGGCCCTTGCTGTGCCTCCCTAATTTGCGAGACTGCTGTCTGTGGGCTGGTCTGAGACGCCCCCTGCTTCGCCTTTTCCCCACATGGTGCTGGGTGGGGGGCTGTTCCGAGTAGACAGATTTCCAGGCACCGGGGCCCCCGCAGACCTAAGTCTGAGGTCGGACGCCTCTCCGGTGCGTAAGAGGAGGGATGTCCCATGCGTTCTGGGCTTTACCCACAGCGGAGAAAGTTTCGTAAGGTCGGGTTTCTAACCGTGATTTGAAAACCCTTTGCGCTCTGAGAGTGGCAACTCCAAGGGTCATTTCAAGCTCCGTGCCCGACGGCTTCTGCGCCCTCCTCTCCAAGACGTTCCCAGGTTCCCCGGAGCCTCCACGTCCAGACTCCCGGTGACATTAGCACTTCCGCCGGGCGCAGCTCTAGGGCAACCACGCCCTCAGCAAACAACCCCCTCCCCTTTCAGCGCCGCCGCTGCACTCACTCCGGCAATAGCCGGGGGCGGGCCCGGGAATCACGTGTCAGATTCCAGCCTCACCCCCACCCACGCGTCTCTCCCACTGCCCCCAAATTATCACGCGTGGGGACGGCAGGGGGCGCTGCCTCAGAGTCCTTGTGTATGAACCCCGGGGTGGCGGGGGGCTTGGGGCAGCGGTGGGGGGGGCGGGGGGCTCCTGACCCTGCCCCCCGACCCTCCAGGCCGGCTGCCCCCGCGTGACCTGACCCTTCGCCGCCCATGCGCCGCCGCCAGCACCATGCGGAGCTGTCCGCCCTGGAGGCTGCTGCTGCTGCTGCTGCTGTTCTCGCTGTGGGGGCCGCCGCTCCATAGGGCGGAGGTGAGGACCCGAGGAGCCACGAGAGTTCAAGGCTTGGAGGGCGGTCTGGGACCAGTTTTACGTCTTCCCGCACTGCAGAGAGAGGGAAGACTGCCCCGCTGGTCCAGGTTCAAGTTTGGATTGTTGTTTCTAATCCCTCCTCTTTCCCTCGCAAACCCTCCTGATGATGTCCAGCCGCCACGCCCCCTACTGTTCCTGAAGGTTTTCAGCCCCCCGCCCCCCAGTAACTCCCCTGGTAGTGTCTAGGCACCCCTCAAGAGATAGAAGAGTTTTCTCAGCCACCCAAGACTCCGGGGCTGACAGGACAGCCCTTCCAAGTCTCTCTAGGGCTTTTGGCCCACACGAACCATGCAGCCTGGGAGCGGAGGTGGGTCGGGGGTGCGGGGTCCTCCCTTCTCTTTTTCTTTAGGCAGGCTCTGAGGGGCAGACGGCGGGGGAGCTGTACCAGCGCTGGGAACGCTACCGCTGGGAGTGCCAGGAGACGCTGGAAGCCGCGGGGCCCCCAGCAGGTGTGACTGGGGAGAAGGCGGGCTGGAGGGGAGGGGATGGGCTGGGGGTATGGGAAAGGCTAGGGTTCAGCGGGGTGGGCTTGAGGCGGTCCTAGTATTAAAGGGCAGGGCCTGACAGAGTCGCCTGGGACAGATACGGGCTGGGTCGGGGAGGCCTGGGTGGGCTTGGCCTCGGTGGGAAGGGCCTAGACCTGAGTGCCAGGCAACTCAGATTAGTGCAAGAAGCCTGGGAGGAAGCTTGTAATGGGCGGGGTCTTCGGGATTGCTACACTGGGTGGGTGGAGCCTGAAGTGACCTGCGAAGGACTTGGGGGTGGAGCCTAGGAAGGGCGGAGTGGGGAAGCACGTGCGATGCGAACTTGCTGGGTGGAGAGCCCGTAGTAGGGCTAAAAGGGTGGACAGGGCCTGGGGTCTTGTGGGCGGAGCCATGGCGAAGCTGGGAAGGCCCACTCCAGGTGGGCGGGCCTAGGGCAGGGCTTGTGTGTGTAAGGAAGAAGCATCATGCCCGAGGTGCAGTAGGTCCACTCGACGTCTGGCCCCTGCGCCCACCCCAGGCCTCGCTTGTAATGGGTCCTTCGATATGTACGTCTGCTGGGACTACGCTGCGCCCAACACCACTGTCCGTGCGTCCTGCCCCTGGTACCTGCCCTGGCACCGTCACGGTGAGGTGCTCCCTGGACCGCGGGCCCTTCCTGACACAAACAGCTCCTAACCCTTGCCCCACACACCACTTCCCCAAAACTCACCTACACCCCATCTCTTGCTCCTCTCTTTCCAGCTGGGTGCCCCCTCCGTCTGTCCAACCCTGGCTGGGCCGCCGTGATCCTGGCTCTGCCTGATTATGCCCCTTCTCTGTCTCTACCTGTCCCAGGACCACCTGCTTCTTATTTTCTCCCCCTTTTCTGAATATGTCTCTGGGCATCCTGGTCTTCCTTTCCTAACTAGATATGCAGTCCAGGGCAGTTTGTTTAACTTCTTTATGTCTCAGTCTCCTCATCTGTAAATGGGATTGATGACAGTACCAATTTCATGGGCTTCTTATGAATATGAAATTAATCCTGTGTAAAGTTCCACATAATTGAGGGCTTACCCTCCTCATCATCACATTGGCTGTCTCTCTCTGCCTTTGTCTCACAAGTGGTCCTTCTGTCTCCCTGTCTCTGTGTGCCTCTGATCCCCTCCCTCGATTCCCCACAGTGGCTGCAGGCTTTGTGCTTCGCCAGTGTGGCAGTGATGGCCAGTGGGGACCTTGGAGAGACCATTCTCAGTGTGAGAACCCAGACAAGAATGGGACCTTCCAGGTAAGAAGAGGTGACATTCAGGTTGGATGTCCAGGGAGAGGTAAAGAGGCAGCCCCCTCAGATCAAGCCTGAACCCCCTGTATTGTTCGCGATTCAGGGTTCCAAGTGATAGAAACTCAGCTTAAACTTGCCTGATGGAGAATAAAACGTATTTACTTACACAGCTTCAGGCACAGTTGGATCTAGGTGCTGGAACTGTGTTGTTGCACATCTTTTTTTGCTCACCATATCATGCCTATGTTTTTCTCTACACTGGTCTCACTTTTTCTGTGGAGTGGAAAGCGTTTTCCCCTTTGACACTGGGCTCACACCCCAGCCACCAGGCAGCACCTCAGGGAGACTGAGCTTCTTTCTCAATGGTTCCAGCATAATGTCCCAGGATTGCCTTTTGGGAAATTTTATTTTTCAATTGCAGTTGACATTCAATATTATTTATATTAGTTTCAGGTGTACAGTGTAGTAGTTAAACAATCATACAATTTACAAAGTGATCCCCTCAATATTTAAGTGCCCCCCTGGCTCCACACTCACAGGACTGATGGCTCTTAATGCCCTGGTTTGGGTCCAATGCCCACCCTGGACTAACCACTCTATAGGAGAGAGTGTGTGGGAGAAGGGTGTTAGAGTGCTCTGATTGGCTGGTCTCACATCCAGCCCTGGAGCTGAGCGGTGGCGTTAGCCCCACTCAGACAAGGGTAGTTGGATCCTCAAGAGAAAACTGAGGTGTTGGGCAAGAAGAGCAGGTGTCCGCCTGGCCCCTTCTGGTCCTGGGGAGAAAGCCAAGTTCTCTTCCTGTGTCTTCCCCACACCCCCCAGGACCAAAGGCGGATCTTGGAGCGGCTACAGGTGGTTTACACCGTGGGCTACTCCCTGTCCCTGGCCGCACTGCTGCTAGCCCTGCTCATCTTGGGTTTCTTCAGGTGGGACCCCCCAGCCGTGAGGGGAAGAGGCCGAGACTGAGCCTCTGTTTGGCGAGTAAGATGGGGTGGTCAGGCTGCACCAGCAACAAGCTCCCACCCACTGGTGGTTCTGTGGGAAGAATGGCTGGGAGGTGGTTTAAGGGGCTCTGTGTGGCCAAGGACAGGTCTCCAGGAGTCCCCAGACTGCGTTCCAAACCCGCAGGCGGCTGCACTGCACTCGCAACTACATCCACATCAACCTGTTCACGGCGTTCATGCTGCGGGCGGCAGCCATCCTCACCCGGGACCGGCTGCTGCCTCCGCCCGGCCCCGCCCCTGGGGACCAGGCCCCTGTTCTGTGGAACCGGGTGAGCACCATCCTTCTCCTCCTCAGACTGGGATTCTGCCCACTGTAGCAGGCTAGGCGGCTCCCCTTCTATTAACTACCCCATACACTGTAAGTTTTTCTGTCTCTTGACCACTCCAAATGCTTTTGGAGAGGGACTCCCAACTCAGCCCCCTCCATTGTTGACCCCATCACTTCCTTGATGGGAAATTTCCATTCTCTTTCACTGTATTACCAGTCTTTTGACTTTTCCACCAATGAGAGAGTCTCGTGCTGGAGGTGAGCGGGAGACAGGTTGGGAGAAAGCAGCTTGTAAGGGGGGATTTGATTGATCCCTGTTAGCTACTAAGAGACAAGGAGAGAGAGGTCAGAGGCTGAGGACAGAGGTGAGAAAAACTATCTGGGAGTCACTTGGCCCATGCCAGTTGTTAGGACGCGGGAGCTGGGGGGGGATCTGCATGCTGGTGAGCAAGAAGGGGTGATGGGATGGCAGAAACCTTTGGATAGGTGGAGTAGTTGAGTTCACTTCTCAGAAGGAGAGAGGCCAGAGAAGCTGTATTTGGGAGAGTCTGGGAGAACTTTGATAGCGAGGTGGAAGATTCCAATTGTTTAAGAGGTCAGAGTGGGAGAGTTCATACAGGGTGAGAGAAATCAGCCACAAGTACTGTCCTTTGGTAATGTGGAGTGGGAGAACATTTGATGACAAGAGATAGGGGCGGGCCCTGGCTGGTGTGGCTCAGTAGACTGAGCGTGGCCTGCAAACCAAAGGGTCCACGGTTCGATTCCCAGTCAGGGCACTCACTTGGGTTTTGGCCCGATCCCCAGTAGGGGGCGCATGAGAGGCAACCACACATTGATGTTTCTCTCCCTCTCTTCCTTTCTTTCCCTCTCTCTAAAAAGAAATAAATGGAATCTTAAAAAAGAAAGAAAGAGAGAAAGAAAGAAAGATGGGGGGAAGGACGACCAGGTGGAGGAAAGCTTGGGGACACCAGCAGCTCTAACTGCCCCTTCCCCATGTCTGGTCACTCCTTAGGCTATAGCCACCTGCAGAACAGCCCAGATCGTGACCCAGTACTGCGTGGGCGCCAGCTACACGTGGCTACTGGTGGAGGGCATTTACCTGCACAGCCTCCTGGTGCTCATGGGAGGCCCCAGTGGGGGCCACTTCCGCTGCTACCTGCTCCTCGGCTGGGGTGAGCCCCGATCCCGTCCCCTGCCCAGCCCAGTGCACCAGCGCTCCCTGACTACCCTGCTGGTCTGCCTCGGGGAGTCTCGTCCTCTGTCTAGCCGGTTGCCTCCCCACCTCGGCCGGGGAATTCCGCGGGTCTTGGGACAGACGGGGCCCGTGCGCGTGCTGACAGCTGCGGCGGGGTGGGGGGCGGGGGTCGGGGTCTGCACAGGGGCCCCCGCGCTTTTCGTCATTCCCTGGGTGATCGTCAGGTACCTGTACGAGAACACGCAGTGAGTCGCGGGTCCTGGGCCTGGCCTGGGAGGTGGGCGGGGCTTTGAGGCACGTGGGTGGGTGTGATGGAAACCTGGGGTGGTTCTGATGGCTTCTGGGGGCTTGGAGGGACGGTGGGTGGGGGTCTAGAAAAATGGCAGCTTGGAAAGATTATGTCTGAGGACTACTGGAAGGGGCGGGAATGAGGGCGGGGCCAGCATAGTAACAGGCGGGCTTTAAAGAATGTGGGTGTGGCATTAAGGAAGATGGGAGGAGCCTGGAGAGTGAATACTTGATCTGTGCCTCTAGCGGTTTCAGCCTCTTAGCTTTAAAATCCTTCCTCCAGGTGCTGGGAACGGAACGAGGTCAAGGCCATTTGGTGGATCATACGCACCCCTATCCTCCTGGCCATTTTGGTACGGCCGGTCCTGCCTCCTCCAGGCCGTCTTTAGGGATTTCTATCCTGGGAAGAGGGGCACCACCCTCTACCTCCCAGGACAGGATCCGGCTGGCTCAGTCTCTCTCTCTCCCCCCCCCCCCCACCTCCCGCAGATTAATTTTTTCATCTTTATCCGCATTCTTGGCATCCTCGTGTCGAAGCTGAGGACACGACAGATGCGCTACCGGGACTACCGGTTGAGGTAGGGAAACGAGGGGGATAAGTAGGGAATGAGGGCGGGGCTTGAGATGGGGACCCGGGGCCACAGGACCGCTGCCACCCTCTCCCCTTAGGCTGGCTCGCTCCATGCTGACGCTGGTGCCCTTGCTGGGTGTCCACGAGGTAGTGTTTGCTCCCGTGACGGAGGAACAGGCCCGGGGCTACCTGCGCTTCGCCAAACTGGGCTTTGAGATCTTCCTCAGCTCCTTCCAGGTGCTCAGGCTGGGCGCGGGGACTACACCCTTCCACTGGGCCCTTCTCCCCGGAGGGGCTGGAGGGTTACAGCCATCCTCTGGCACAGCCGCTGAAGGGGGTGTGGCGATGGAACTTTGTTCATACATTCTACACAAAATACTGAGCGGTCGCTGTCCTGAGCGGAGGAAGCAGCAGGGACCGAGACAGGAGACGGGTGGCACCAGCAGTACCGCCTCCCGATGAAAACCTAGGGCTTTAACACCTGACAGGGCTGGGGCCACATTGGGGCCTGGCACTTAACCAGCTCCGTGGCCTTCACCTGCAGGTCAGAGCTGGGGTAGGCCAGAGAGTTACTTAAAGTGTAAATGGAAGGAGGCCCTAGCTCCAAAATTAAAGGCTGACCTTGCACTTGCTTGCCCTAACCCGAGTCCCCAGCCTGCTGTACCTCCTTCGGCCCAGTTTTCTCATCTCTAAAGTGGGACCCCACAGGCATGTTCATTTCATTAAATTCAGCAAACATTGATTGAATATATTTACTATGTGCTAAGCACTTTCCCAAGCTCACTGTGGGTATACGACCAAGAATTAAATGGTCTCTACCCTCTAGTGGGCGAGACAGATGCTAAACACACCACATAAGTATTGGGTTTGCCAAAAAGTCCGTTTAGATTTTTTCCATAAAAGACACATTTTTCACCAATAACTTTATTGATTTGGACATTTTGAGTATGTTGGCTATCTTCTGCTATTGGCTTCTAGTGGAGAGAGGCCAGGGGTGCTGCTAAACATCTTCCAATGCATCAGACCAGCAAAGAATTATGTGGCTAAATCTCAATAGTCCCAACAAATTTTGCAAACCACTTTTTTTTTAAAGATTTTATTTATTTATTTTATTTTTTAGGGGAGGGAGAGAGAGAGAGAGAGAGAGAGAGAGAGAAACATCAATGTGCGGTTGCTGGGGGTTATGGCCTGCAACCCAGGAATGTACCCTGGCTGGGAATCGAACCTGGGACACTTTGGTTCCCAGCCCGCGCTCAATCCACTGAGCTACGCCAGCCAGGGCTTGCAAACCACTTTTGACACATTCGATCAGTCACAGCACCTTCCCCATACACTGCACAAATCTTTTTTTTTTTTTCATTTCAGTTGCATTTTTACCTTTCTGGCATTTTGCAGTTTTGGCATAAATGCCAAAAATGTTGCATTATTTTCTTCCACCTTCAACATTAAAATGGCTGTACAAAAATTCACCAATTTTGATAAGTTTTTTAAATGCACACTGATATGACAGCTGTCCTAATACAATGTAACCAAATTGTTTTGAATGAAATTAAAGACAATGAAGCACTACTAGAGCCATTCTACGGAAAAAACTAAATAAACTTTTTTGGCCAACCCAATAAAACATACAGAATGGCAGGTGTTAAGATATGCCTGGGAGGGGCAAGAAAATAGAGGTGAGCATCAGATGAAGGGCGGGGTTGTAGGCAGGGGATCAGGGAAGATCTCCCTGAGAAGAAGATGTTGGAGCAGAGACGGGAAGGAGGGGAGGGAGCGAGCGAGGCAGATACTTGGGGAAAACGTTCCAGTAAGAGAAACCTTAAGGGTAAGGCCCCTGAGGTGGAGCGAGGGTCTGTCATGATGGAGGCTGGTGAGCCAGAAGCAGCGGGAGCCAGAGGGAGAGAAGACAAGTAATAGCTAACCAGTAACACATGTAAATGATTGATTTGTATTAATTTATACAGTGACTTATTATTCATTATACATATGAGTGTATTTTATATTTATTTAAATTTCTATGTGAAACATATCCAAATTGAAAACAACAAATGATTATTAAAACTATTAATAATTTATCATCAATAATTAAAATTAACATCAACAACTGTAACTCATTTGTTAATCATTGATAATGATTATATAATATATAACAATGGAAAGAGAAGTTATAATAAGATTAAGAAAAAGCTTTAACACTATGTGCCAGGCACTGCAGCTTCTTGCATATTAATACCTGAATTCTCTCACCACCACCACTGTATTACCCCATTTTCCAGATGAAGAAACTGAGGCCCGGGGGGGGTTAAGCAGCTTGCCCAAGTGGGATAGAAAGTAGGGAAGTGGTTATCACATGCGAGGTCCTTTTTATTGTTCAGCAAACCGGACAGGGCAAGGGGTGGGGAGAGCAAGTGTGGGAGCCGGGAGCCAGGGAGAAGGTGACTACAAAAGTTTAGGACTAGGTAGCGGCAGCCGAGGTGGCCTTGGACCTGGCAAGGGTCCGAGCTTTAAAAGGGTGCTTATAATCCTGCCCTCAACCCCCGATTTAACCCCGCGCCTTCTTTGACAGGGCTTGCTGGTCAGCTTCCTCTACTGCTTCATCAACAAGGAGGTAGGGAGAGCCCAGGCCCTCCGCCCGCGCCCTCTGGCGGCCGCGCTGGGAACGGCGTGCCGAGCACCGCCTCTGAGCGCCGTCCCGTTGCAGGTGCAGTCGGAGATCCGCCGCGGCTGGCACCGCTGCCGCCTGCGCAGCAGCCTCGGCGACGAGCAGCGCCAGCCCCCGGAACATGCCTCTTCGACCCTGCCGTTGGGCTCGGGATCCCGCCAGATCGCAACTGGCCGCACCCTGTCCTCAGGGAACCTTCCAGGGCCTGGGGATGAGGCCGGCCGGGCCTTGGAAAGTTACTGCTAGGCGGCGGGATTCCTGCGATCGTTCAGTTAGCATGTATTCATTGAGCGTCCACTGTGTACCCGGCCCCTTGTGGAGGGCGCTGGGGAAATGGGGGCTGGGTGGGGGGAGGAAACAGAAGACAAGGTCCCTGCCCTAGAGTTCACAATTGAGTGGGGGGAAGCAGACTGTGAAGACAGTACAAGTTATACATACACTGTGGAATGGCTTACAAAGAAAACTTAGAAGGATGCCTAGGGTGGTCAGGGAAGGCATCTCGGAGGAGGTGACATTTAAGCCACGATTACAAGCGGTGAAGGAGACAGCTTTGGAGAGAACTGGCAGGCAAGATTCTAGGCAGAAGGAACAGCACCTGCAGAGGTGCTAGGGCAGGAAGGAGCTTGGCTTTTTGAACAGAGAGGTGGCTTTCACGGCTGGAGTGGGGATGAGTCAGAGCCAACAAATGCAGAGGGTGGGCAGGGGCACAAGAGTTGGGATTTATTCCAGGTGCATTGAAAATTCTTAGCAGGAGCGTCTCATGGGCTAATGTATTTTTAATTTATTTTATTTATTTATTTTTAGAGGGGAAGGGAGGGAGAAAGAGGGAGAGAAACATCAATGTGTGGTTGCTTCCCATGCACCTTGTACTGTGGACCAGGCCTGCAACCCAGGCATGCGCCCTGATTGGGAATCGAACTGGCAACCCCCTGGTTCACAGGCCGAGCTCAATCCACTAAGTCATACCAGCCAGGGGCTAATATTTTAAACAGAACCTTCTGTCTGCCCTGTGGGGGAACAGATTGTTAGGGGCAGCAGAAGCGGGAGCCCAGTGAGGGCACTGCAGGTGGGAGGGGATGATGGCTGAAGCAGGGTGGTGGCCATGGAGGGTGTGAAGCAGCTGGACTCTGGAGCTATTTTGATGGTAAAGCTGAGCATTTGGCAAGGGATTGCATGAGCAACGTTTGGCAAGGAGAGAAGTCCGGGAAGGCTCGTAGGTTTGAGACTGTGGAGAGAGGAGAGAGATAGGGAGGCTGTGTTTGGGGTGGGGTGAACCAAGAGTGCTCTTTGGACATGTCAAGCTGGGACTAAGGGCCTGGAGCTCATGAGAGATTAGAGTGGGAGACTGAAGTGTGAGCCCACTGGGTGTAGAGAGGATTCAGTGTGCAGATGCAGGCCTCAGCTGAGACCTGACATCCCGAGGCCAGGACCACGGCTAGGTGGGGAGTGTGGCTGCACATCTCCACCCTCCTGGGGACCCCCCAGGGCATGGGGAGAACTGGGGGGAACCAAGAGCCACAATGTAGCTGGACTACCTATACACATGTAAAACCCTCACTTTTAAATCCTTCACCCCCACAGCTACTCACAGATTGTTAGTTCCTGGGTGTTGTTATTTTCCTTGGGTCTCCAGCTCCCTGGACAGATGAACTTGGAGTTCTTTAAGCACAACGTGGCCTTGCTGGGCCCCCTTTGTGGGTTCTGGGAGGGTAAGGCCCCAGGGCAGGGCCCTTGTAAATAAAGCATGACAAAGAAGTTGTGTGTTTTTAATCCTTATCCGAGGATATGTCTACTGATTTTAGAGAGAGGAAGGGAGAGAGACATCGATCTAACCCACAACCTAGGTATGTGCCCTGGCCGGTAATCAAACCCAAAATTTTTTGGTATACTGGATGTTGCCGCAATCGTGCCGCCTGGCCAGGACAGCAGTTGTGGGGGGTGTGTGTGTGTGTGTGTAACCTTTCTGGTCAGGCCTCAAAACAAAATAACTGAGACAGGATGCGTGGCTGGGAGCCTGTGGTGGCCACACCCCCCGGAGGGTAGCACTGCTCATCCTGTCACGCCTTGCCATGTAACGTGGACATCCACTTGGACATGGTGCTGCCACTGTCCGCTCGGTGTCAGAGAGCTGCAATCGGAAATGTTTGTGTGACCTGATGCTTACTTATAAACATTTGCAGTGTATACAATTAAGATTACATATGTGAGCCCCAGCTGGTGTGGCTTAATGGATTGAATGCTGGCCTGCAAACCAAAGGATCACTGGTTCGATTCCCAGTCAGGGCACATGCCTGGGTTGTGAGCCAGGTCCCTAGCATGGGGAGAGTGAAAAGCAACCATACACTGATGTTTCTCTCCTTCTTTTTCTCCTCCCTTCCCCTCTCTCTAAAAATAAATAAAAATTTAAAAAAATTACATGTGTGGGCCAAACATTTTCTGAGAGCTGCCTCTCTAGGAAGGTAGTATTAAGAGTGAAGCTGTAAGCCTCAAGTCTTCAAATCAAGAGTCTGATTATTTGGTTATTGAGTACCTAGCTGTGGAAGGTTACATATATTTACATATAACCATTTTTATTTAATTTTATTTTTAACCATATTTTACATGTTTTGCTATTTTAACCAAAAAAGAGTAAAACTATAGGAAACATCCTGGTTCAAATCTTAGTCTGGCTACTTATTAGCTCTGTGACTTGGAGAAAGTTCTCAGTGTCTCTGTGCCTCCACTCCCTCTTCTGGGAATAGGAGGTAATAACTGACAGTGCCTGCTTGGAGCTGTTGGGGGGGGAGTCTGAACAGCACAGAGCCCAGGCCTGGCAGCGACAGCGCAGCAGGTGACAAACAGCATGATGGCCATCAGTATTTGGGTACCAACGGCTTTAAATGTGCATCTTTTCCCGTCAGTGAGGGCAGGTCTGGGGCTGTCCCAGGCCCTGATGTGTCCCCAGCACGGCAACACAGAGCCAGACACAGAGGAGGTATCTGGGGGATGTTTCCCTGATTCAACAAACAGAAAAGAGAACAAATGAAATTTCAAGCAAGGATGACTCATTGAGAGGCTGGGAGAAAGGAGAGAGTAGGAAGGACAAGCTGAGAATAAAATAGGGAAGAGCAAAAGCTCTGTCCAACCGATTCACTGCACAGATGGGGAAACCAAGGCACGGACGGAACAGGGACAGGGCCTCTTCACCTGCTCCGAGAGGTCCTGATGCCGGTGCCTGGCCCCACACCCAGCTATCTCCCTCCCCCAAGTCCGCCCCACTCACAGGGCCCTGGGAACAGACAGAAGTCACTAGGAAAAAAAAAAAAAAACACACAGGAGTTTATTGTTTTCACGCCAAGGGTCAAGTCTTTGCAGGCTGGGGGGCGGTGTGTCCCGCAGGCAGGGACGAAGCCCTACTTGCCGGCGATGAGCGGGTTCCGCAGGACCACGATGACCGAGTCCCCGCGCAGGAACATCTTAGAGATGTAGCGGTCCTTGTTGACGGGCTTGGACTTCTTCTTGCCCTTGCCACTCTTGGGGACCTCGGTCCACATCTCCTTCACATTCTCTAGCACCATGTTGCAGTGCCTGGTGGGAATAGGGGGTGGGAGGATAGCAGGTGAGGGGGCAGCCTTCTCTGCGAGGTGCTGCCTCTCCCCTCCAGCAGCGTGGCTGCAGGCCCTGGGCCGGGACAGTCGGGCGGCCACCTCCACCTCTGCAAGTCCTCATAGGGAGGCTGGGGCAAAGGGCTGCATCGCTCTTTGCCTCAACTTCCCCCTCTCCAAAACAGAGACATCTGTGGTGCCCACCTCACAGGGCTGTCGTGAAGGTTACATGAATCAACCCAGCGTCCTGTGTGAAAGACAGAGAACAGGGCGCGGCACTGAGCGAGGCAAGCAACACGGTTCTGCTTGTGCTTTGTAACTCGCAGTGTTTCTGGAGGCATCCGCAAAGGACCCGCTTCCCTGTGGAGAACCAGAGGCCCCTGGGGCCTGAGGTGGCACCCGAGCCCCCACCAATCCTGCTTTGTCCCAGTCCTCAGATTGCTGGGTGGGCACGTGTGAACATAGAATGGAGTAGCTCACTCAACGAACGCTTGTAACAAATAAAACAGACAACATCCCTGCCCTCGTGGGGTGGGCATCCTAGTGAGAGAAGGACGGGGCAGGTGAACAGAGATCTGGACCTGTAATGTGCTGTCAGGTGCTAGCTGCTAGGAAGAAAAACTAGCTCTGGCTGCCATGGCTCAGTGCGCTGAGTGCCAGCTGGTAAACTGAAAGGTCACCGGTTCGAATCCCACTCAGGGCACATGCCTGGGTTGCAGGCTGGGTCCCTGGTTGGGGCGCCTGTGAGAGGCAACCAATGGATGTTTCTCTCACACATCAATGTTCCTCTCCCTCTCTTTCTCCCTCCCTTCCCCTCTCTCTAAAAATAAAATAAAATAAATAAAACCTGAAAAGAAAAACTAAAGCAAGATGAAGGGATAAGAGGATATACAGAATTATCTCCAAATAGTAAGAAAACAAATTAAGAAGAGTGAGGAAGCTCTGTGCCTTGCCGTGGAGTGAACCCCAGGAGACGCCATGACGTGAAAAAGGCCATGTGGGGAAGAATGTGCACAGGAAGTTATCCTTCGCAGGGAAATAGTGGTAAGGGTGGGAGAAGCCTCCTGCCCACTTGTTTTATTTTTATTTAATGTATTGCTTTTGGAAAGAGAGCAAAGGAGAAAGGATGAGAAACAATAGTTTGTTGTTCCACTTATTGATGCATTCACTGGGTGCTTCTTGCCATGCTCCTGACCGGGATCGATTCCCCAACCCCTGCTTATGGGGATGATGCTCTGACCAGCTGAGCTACTTTACCCGGCCTGGCCTTGCCCACCAGCTCACACAATGCAGAATCTTGGAAAGACACCTAGAGATTGGTGGCAGTGGAGTGACCCAGGGGATAAGCCAGATGAGAAATTTCACTGGACTCATTAAGTAAAAAAGCTGAAGTCAAAAACTGTGTGCTGTGCCACTGGCAGTGATTTAAAAATAAAAAGCATCGTCCTCTATCATTATGTCTGATATTACATTCAAGTAATATTCCGGGAGGGGACCCAAGCAATTAGCCATGGTGGGGGCCCTGGGGACTCCAACTGAGGTTGGCGGCAGGTAGGGAGGAAAGATCTGCTATTCACTGGGTGCCTTTTGTATCTTTCAAATGTGGCTCAGTAAGTGCACCACTCACTCAAGAAAGCAACATAATTAAGTAGACAGACAGGGTGGTTGAGAACGCAGTAGCTGACTTGCAGCAATATCCTCAGCCCACTGACGCGTTTGAAAACAAGATGCCCTGGGGAAGACTCTCTTTTAAAAACAACCAGTTTATATTATCACAACAGGTCAATCACACCGACACCATGAAGGACCCCCTGAGTGAAATGTGACAGGGTACACACTAGGTGGGGAGGCTGGTCAGTGGGAGAGATGGGACATTCACATGGGGGCAGATGAGAACTAGGGGAGAACGAAAAGGATTCGACTTAAAAGAAAAAAATAAAATAAAGCTTGTATACATACACCGCCACCTACTGCACACCCACCAGGTGCCCAGGCCTCCTCTAAGCACTTTCTAAGCATCAAGCCAATGCTCCCGGCATCTCAGCCCCGGGAGGTAAACACCAGTGCTGCCCCAACCTCCAGAGCAAGCAGCTGGGCACCCCGGGTCACAGACTATGGAAGTGGCAGAGTCTACGTCCGAATCCAGGTCTCTCTGCCTCCGTGTGCCTGCACTTCCTGTCATTCTTAATCTGATTTTACTCAAGAGGAAAGTGAGGCTCAGAGGGCAAGACTTGTTCATTGTCACACAGTGGCTGGTGGCCAAAATACTCCGGAATTAAGCCCGAGCACACAACTGTGAGGAAAGTGCTTCCCCAATGCTAACTTAAGGCCACGGCTTCTATGTTTGTTGAGCATTATCCTACGTTAGATGCTGAGTCCAGTGCTTTTCATAGTATCTTTAGTCCTCACAACTGTTCCCCGAGGGGCATGACAGGGAAACAGGCCGAGAGAAAACCCACTCGCTGTTCCCCGCAGCTGAGACACTCAAACCGCAGCCTGCGAGTTCGTTTTCCTCAGGCCTGCTCACCCGGCCTCTTCAGAAGGGGCTTCCCTTCGCAGTACTCTGCACCCTCCGCTGGCTTTACTTTTCTCCGTAGATGTTATCACTGCCTGCCGCCTCCCTACCTATGACGAGCTCCCCGAGTTTGTTTTAGTCACTGCTGCACCTCCAAGCCTGAAACAGCACCTGGCATGGCACACGCTCTAATTATATAACAACTGCATTGAGAACATCCTGTGTGGCAGGTGCTGTACTTACAGAGATTACCACACTTTACAGGTACTAAGCAACCACTGGAGTTACTGTCACTGGTTGGAGTTAAGCAACCAATGGAGTCTTTGCAACCACTATCGTTACTGTCACTGTACAGATGAGATTGTCACTTGCTGAAGGTCACGTGGCCGCTAAGAGGCAGAGTTAGAACATGAACCCATGAGGACTGGCTTCTAAGCAATGACCATAACCCCTGCATGGCACAGCTGGAGGGGCAGCAAGAGACAGTCACACCTCAGGTATTAAGGTGCTCACTTGCCCTGCTTCTGAGAAACCTGGTGGACAGCCTCCTCGGACTGGAGCTGGGACTGCTTCTCCAGGCCTGGATAGCACCCCTCCCAAGACCCTGTCAAAAAGCCTTCATGGAGGCCCTGGCTGCTGTGGCTCAGTGGATCGAGTGCCGGCCCACAAACCGAAGGGGTCACTGGTTCGATTCCCAGTCAGGGCATGTGCCTGGGTTGTGGACCAGGCTTGCAGTTGAGGGCATGAGAGAGGCAACCAACAGATGTATCTCTCACACATTGATGTTCTCTCCCTTTCTCCCTCCCTTCCCCTTCTGTAAAAGCAAAAAAAAAACCCCCAAAAAAACAAAACAAAACAAAAAAAACCCTCTAAAATAAATAGAAAGCCTTTACCTGTCAAAAGCCTTCACACGGCCCAGGAGCTTCTTGTTGTTGCGACAGTTGATGAGCACCTGGGTGTTGTTCTTGACTGACTGTGTGAGCACGGACAGTGGGCCTGTGTTAAACTCCTCCTCTTCCCGCTTCTGCAGCTCCTCCGGGGTCATCTCACTCTTGGGCTTGTTGAGGAGGCTCCTGAGTGGGCAAGCATGGAATCCATAGGTGAGAGCGCCCAGAGCTGGGGCATGGGGGGGGGCACGTCCTCGGGCTCGGGGTCTCTCTAGCCTTTCCCCAACACACCCACCCTCCTGCTCAATCCTCACTTGGCATCCCCATTTGGTTGCCTAATAGATCTCCATTCCTGCACACCCCAGGCTGAGCTCCGCAACGCCCAGCCACCTCAGTTTACTCTATCCGCAGCCTTTCTCATCTCCATCCATGGTGACTCCTTCCTTCCAGTTCTCAGAGCAAAACCTCTGATGTCAACTTCCCTCTTTTCATTCTCTCCCATCCTACATTTCAATCTGTCAGCAAATCCTATAATCTGCCTCTAAATTGGGTTCACAATCTGCCCATCTTTCACCACTGCCCGAACCTCCCATCATCTCTCCCCTGGAGTCTTACTGGTCTCTCTCCCTTCACCCACACTCTGCAACGGTGTTCTCTGCAGTAGTCCCAGGGGTTGTGCCGAGGCCCAAGTCACATCACCTCACTGATCAAAACCCTCCCACAGCTCCCATCTCACTGTAAAAAGTAAAATCCAAAGTTTTTACCATGCCCTGCATCTACCTGTCTTTCACTCTATTCTAGGCCCAGTGGTATCCTGGGTGGTTTAGAGATTAGGCAAACTTTTCATCTTGGGCCCCTGCATCTTTTCTTCCCTCCGCCTGGATGCCTCCCCAGGCACCTGTGTGGTTAGTTCTCGCACTTTCTTTGGGTCTTTTGCTCAAAAGTTGCCTTTTCAATATGTCCTTCTGTGCTGGCTTTGAAGTTAATGTCTCTCAAAATTGGCATTAGTTGTTTTTACTCTGCCCTGATCACCTAACACACCATATACTTTATCTGTTTATTAATTATTACATTTAACCACCTGTCTCTTCCCACCCCACAAGCGGCAGCAGAGGACTTCTCTTGGGGAAGGTATTCACTGACATATCCCATGTATATACAGCAGTGTCTGGTACATGAGCACTGAATAAATAACTGCTTAATTGATAAATAAGTAAAATCATTTCTGTGTCTCATTATCTGGAAATGTCGAGAATTAGGTCGAAAAGCCAACCGTCTCCAGCTCAAACTATACGGATAGTCCCTCACCTCAAGTCGTTATTTCTAAAAGCCCGCACTTCCCTCTCCTAGGTTCTTTATTCGTAAACTCGTTTCCGCTTAAAATTCATTTCAATAATACCAGTTATTTGAGAAAGCCGCCAGCCTATCACATGATAAAGCTGTTCCTTCTCCCGAACTCAGGAGCCGTCAAAGGCCCCCATGCCCATTCTCAAACTCAGGAAAAAAGTACGCCAACTTGACCCCTAAAGTCGCCGCCTCCGCCGCCCATTCTGCCATCCCGTTCCTCCGGTCAACGGCCAAATTTACACCCTCCACCCACTACCGCCGTTTAAGCCTTGCCCGACTCACATGGTGGCAGCAGCTACTCTCTGGTAACACCTCCGTCTCCTCCGCGTTGCCTCTGCCTCCGTAGAGAGCGCGCGAAAGGGGCGGGACTTCCGCTTCCTGCAGCTCACTTCCGGGGGCGCCTACGCAAACTCAAAGGGCGGTGTGGGCGTGGCCTGTTGCCATAGCGAGTCCGCCAGCCGTGTGCAGCGTTAGGGTTAAAGCCTTGCTTAGTGGCTCAAGGCCATTCAGGAGCACACGACCTAGGTGTTCACAGCAATGGAGAGGGGAAAAAAGCGGGTCTGACTTAAGCCATTTCGTTGTAGATCAGCACAGGTGGCAGGAGAATAAGGGCACGACATTTCCAAATACCCGCCGGCCCTATTTTGGGGGCGCGGCCTCCGAGAAGCCAATCCGCTGCTCACTTTGAGGAATAGACTCCACCCTTTTCCCTTAGGGGACGGTTCGTTGACGTGTCTATTGATCTTCACGACTCCGCAAAACCAATCCTTTGCCTACATCCGGGGGTGGGCGTGGACTTGCGCCCGGGAGGTCGAACGTTTTCCAAGATCAAACGCTTCTAATTGGCTTCCCCTCCAAAGCTGAGGCGGAGCCTATCCCCTTCACGCTCCCTTTTGGGTTGTGCAACTCTCAGGGGAGCCGACGCTGAAAGCCCCAGGGAGACGGAGAGGCGTGTCCTCAGAACGAGAATCCCCATTGGCTTCACTGCTGGCAGAGGGTTGGACGGTGCAGCCGCTCTCGTTGTTCATTCGTCCGGGGATTCCATGGGGTGGGACTTGGCCGGGCCTAAATTCGATCCGCGGTCCCGGACCGGTTTCTGGGCAAAGCTGCCATGCGTTCCGGGGGCCGCGGGCGGCCTCGGCTACGGCTCGGGGAACGCGGCATCTTGCAGACACCCAAGGCCCCCAGTCGCCGCTTGTTACCGCGGGCGCAGCTGTTGCCCCTGCTGCTGCTGGCGCTGGCCATGGCCTCGGCGTTCTACATCGTCTGGAGCGGCTGGCACCAGCACAGGAGTGAGGAGCTGCCTTCCGGTCGGGATCTGCGGGTGAGGACCGGCGGGGCACAACGGCTCTAAGTTCTTCGTCTCCCCTTACCCACGGTCTCGGGTGGACGTGGCTTTGTCATATGGCCATAGCCGCAGGTGCTGCCGTAGTCTTTAGGACGCCTGTCAGTGGACTGTGTCTTCGGGCTTGTTCTGTAATAGTGGCTCTCCTTTAAGAGAAAAAGGAGAAAGGGTCTGGAGTAATGACCGTGGGAGTTCTGGGTTCCAATCCTAAAGACAACTATTTGGAAGTGTCCCTTCCTCCCTCTGGGCCTCGATTTCCCCATCAGGATTGGGGTAGGCTGGACCGGATGGGCTTGGAGGGACTTTTCCCGCGTCTAGGATTTATCCTAGAAACCTCTGATGCTGGAAGCTGCGATTAGAAAGCGGAACCGGTCCTTCTTAGGGGCGACGGCGCCTGGGGTAGGGTCAGAAAGGGGTTGCTCACACGGTCTGCTTTTCTCTTTCCCATCGCTTCCCCAAACCCAACCGCAGGGCCAGTTGATCGGAAGCCTCCCCGAAGCCCGAATGCGGAGGGTGGTGGGGCAACTGGACCCACAGCGTCTCTGGAACATTTATCTGCGCCCCCTGCTGGTTGTAAGGACACCAGGCAGCCCAGGCAATCTCCAAGTCAGAAAGGTAGGTAATGGGCCACGCTTGACTCAGACCGCTAGAAAATGGGAAATGGGCATTCTGCCCAAGATCCCAAAACATTGAGGGCAGAGCTGTAGCTCTGAGTGGAGCTAGTCTTGCTCTAGAGTAAGCACCATGCTGTACTGCCCTCCATTACTGTGTGATAGGCACAAGTAACAGCTGGAGGAGGTGGATATCATTGTGATCTTCTTTATGCAGATAGGGAAACTGAGGCCCAGAGCAGTTGGGCATTTTGCCCAAACCCCACAGTTAATAAATGGTGCACCGAGGGTTTCAACCAAACAGTTTGGCTCCAGAGCTGGTGCTGTAACATCTCTATATTGCATCTCAGAAAACATTGAGTCATTTGAATACTGCCTCAGTTCAAATCCCAATTCAGCCACTTGGAGTGTGACCTTGGAGGAGTTTCTTAAGGTCTCTGTGCCTCAGTCTCCTCATCTGCAAGTTGAATCATTGACAGTCCCTACCCTGTAGAGTTCCTAGAACAGGGCTTGGCACACAGTGAGTGCTGTCGAAGATGAGCTGGGATTAGTCTTGGCATCAAGAGGTGGAGTCATTCCATGTCTGGCACTTAGTAGATACTCAGCAGAAGTGTGTCAAAGGAATGATTCAAACCCAAGTGGGACTTGCGAGGCAGCCCAACTGGATTGCTCTGCATGGCCCAGGTCACACGGCCCTTCTCCTGACCTCCTCCCCAGTACCCCAACCCACCCTCCCACCTCTCTTGCCACTAGTTCCTGGAGGCCACTTTACGGACGCTGACGGCAGGCTGGCATGTGGAGCTGGACCCTTTCACAGCCGCAACGCCCCTGGGGCTACTGGACTTTGCCAACGTGGTGGCCACGCTGGACCCTGGGGCTGCCCGTCACCTCACCCTTGCCTGCCATTATGACTCGAAGCTCTTCCCATCTGAGTCGTCCCCCTTTGTGGGGGCCACGGACTCAGCTGTGCCTTGTGCCCTGCTGCTGGAGTTGGCCCAGGCCCTGGACCAGGAGCTGAGCAGAGCCAAGGATCAGGTGAGGAGTGGGGGAGGGGTGGAGGGCCAGTGCCGCCTCTCCCTTGGTCAAAGCCACCACCCTCCCCTGCCTGGTCTTCTTGTGTCCAGGACACACACAAAGCCACAGGAATCTTTCTCCATCCTGAATCTCAGATCCTGTCTCTCCCCTGCCCCGGACCCTCCCACAGCTCCTACCTCATTCCAAGCATTAGCCCAAGTTCTTACAGGGGCCCAAGAGGTGTGTGTTTCTACCTGTCTAGTCTCGTCTGCCAGCCCTTGCTTGCTCCACTCTGGCTGCCCACTGCCTGTGTATCTCAGATCCATGAGGTTCACTCTCGCCTCAGGGCATTGGCACTCACTGTGTGCTCTGCCAGGAATGCGATTTTCCCAGATCTTTCCCCAGCTGGCTCCTGTCCTTCATTCAGGTGTCCACTGTGATGCTACCTCCCCAACCAGGCCTTCCCAACCCAATGCCCCTGTCACTGTCCCATCATTCGTGGTGCTGATGTTGGTTTGTCTGTCTGCACAACTGGAATATGCTCCATCTAAGCAGGGACTTGGCTGCTTTTGTTTCTGCTCTGTTCCCTGGGCCCAGAGTGTCACCTGGAATAAAGTGGGATGTCAGTTAAAATGAGTGGACTGAATGAATGAAAACTCAAGTTTCCTCACACTCCTCCCCTGCTCAGACCCCCTCTTGTGGCTTAAACCCCAGTGTCCCAAAGCTCCCTGGTCCTTGCTGGCCCCTCATGCCTCTCTCAAACCTCTCTGGCCCTTTCTCTGGCCTCAGCCCTGGTCCATATTGCTTTCTTGCCTGGGAACACTCTCCTGTCCACTCCACTTTGCCAGGCCAGCTCCCACTTACCCTCAGTGCAAACATCCCTTTATTTAAAAAAAGATTTTATTTATTAGGGGATGGGAAGGAGAAAGAGAGAGAGAGGGACAGAGAGAAACATCAATGTGTGGCTGCATCTTGCACACCCCCACTGGGGACCTAGCCTGCAACCCAGACATACGCTCTGACTAGGAATTGAAGCTGTGACTCTTTGGTTCACAGGCCTGCACTCAATCCACTGAGCTATACCATCCAGGCACAAACATCCCTTTCCAACAGACCTGACATGCTCCCCAGGCCAGGCTATTTCCCCACCCCCTCCCTGTGCTCCTTCAAGACCCTATAGTTCTGGGAAGCATTTGTCCCAACTGCACTTCACTGTTTGTACAATTATTCACTTCAGGGGGCTGTCTCTTTTGGTAAAGGGGCTACAGGATTTAATGGTGGTCATCACAGCCAACCCTTATTGAGTTACTGTATGCCCGTCACTATTCTAGGACCTGGATTCAAATCCTACCCAGTGACTAGAACCATTATAACCCCACTTCTGCATGAGGAAACTGATTTGAGGAGTTAGTAATTTACCGGTGACTGCTCAGCCAGGCAGCAGCTGAGCCGGGGTTTGAACCCAGGCAGTCTGGCTCAGAGTCTGTACTCCAGGCCACTGTGTCCATGAGTGAGGAGACTGAGTTTGACCCATTCAGCTCCGCAAACGGGCAAGACATGGGGGTGGGCCGAGGCAAGGGCTGACACTGAGCCCCAGCTCCCACAGGCAGCCCCGGTGACCTTGCAGCTGCTCTTCTTGGACGGCGAAGAGGCGCTGAGGGAGTGGGGACCCAAGGACTCCCTCTACGGCTCCCGACACCTGGCCCAGCTCATGGAGTCCGCACCCCACAGTCCGGGCCCCACCAGGATCCAGGCTATCGTAAGACCGGGGCCCCTGCTGGGTTCTGGTGAGGGGGGCAGGAGGTAAGGCAGGGTTGGCAGCCTCCCTCCCGGCCTCTCCCGTCCCGGCCTCTCTCTCTAGGAGCTCTTTGTCCTGCTGGATCTCCTGGGAGCCCGCCATCCGACTTTCTACAGTCACTTCCCTCGCACAGCCCGCTGGTTCCATCGGCTGAAAAGTATCGGTAAGGCCGACGGAGGAGGCAGGCTCCAGCCTAGGATGCGGGTGGGAGGGCTGGGCTAGGGAGGCATTCGTCCTCAGAGGGCTTGCCCTCCCTCTACCTCCCTAGCCTCCCACTGATGCACTGACACAAAGGACAGAACACAAATTGATCCTGTGGCAGTCGTGATTACAAACGGGGCATGGGGTCAGACGGTCCTGGGTTCAAATCCGGACTCTCCTTACCAGCTGAGCGCACTTGGGCAAGTGGCTTCATCCCTGAGCCTCAGTCTCCTGTCTGTGCAGTGGGCGCAATAGTAGTGCTGGCTGGGAGCACGGGACACCTGCAGTGAGGGTAGCCGTCATTCTTCCTGTGGGATAACCGTGCTTCAGACCCCTTGCCCACCTCCGATTTATGAACAGGTAACCTTTGACCCCTGAGGGGCTGACCTTTGCTCTCTAATCCCCACTACCTCCAGAGAAGCGCCTGCACCGGTTGAACCTGCTACAGTCTCATCCTCAGGAAGTGATGTACTTCCAGCCCGGGGAGCCCCCCGGCTCTGTGGAAGATGACCACATCCCTTTCCTCCGCCGAGGTACTTGCTGCCGGGGGCGGAGGGGTGGGGCGCGGAGGTCCGCTGGAGCCACAGGTGGGACCCAGCCCTGGCCCCTTCCCAGCGTGGGGGACTGGTTTCAAGTTGCTTAATCTCTCTGTGCCTCGATTTTCTCATCTGTTGAATGGGAACGATAATAGCCCCTGTCTCAGTTCCTGCCTTGCTGAGGGGCTGACTGTGCTGGTGAGAAATGTGAAGACCTTTCTTGGACCAGCGCCCAACACATAACAGGCATTTGAGAGTGTGAGCTCTCATTATGTGTGCGTCAGGCCCTGGCAGCCCAGCAGAATTACCCAAAGAGCTTCGAAAAAGGCCTAGTCACTCGTCGGGCCACCACATCACATTCTCAGGCCCTCGTGTTAGTTTTACAGAACTCCCAGGTGATTCCGAGGCACAGCCAGGGTGGAAGACAGCTGGCCCAGGGGTTCGGAACGTAGGTTTCAGGACTGGTCTGGGTTCCAGGGCCTGCAGCTTAGTGCTGGTTGACCTACGGCAAATGATTTAGCCTCTCCGAGTCCCCATTTCCTCAGGGAAAAAAATGAAGAGACTTCTACGTAAAGAGCACGCCTGTGTGTATATTGTAATCACAGGGTTGGGAGGAGGAGATGAGATTAGGTATGTGAAATGCCTGCTTACACAGTGCTTGGCTGCTTCTTAAATCTTCACCCTGTAATTTACCCATTCAACAAATACGCATTCCTTACAATGCCTTCTTTTTTTTTTTTTTAAAGAAAGATTTTATTTATTTGTTTTTAGAGAGAGGGGAAGGGAGGGAGAAAGAGAGGGAGAGAAATGTCGATGTGAGAGAAATATATCAATCAGTTGCCTCCGGCACGCCCCTAACTGAGGACCTGGCCTTTGACCCAGGCATGTGCCCTGACTGGGAATCGAACTGGCGACCTTTCAGTTCGCAGGCTGGCACTCAATCCACTGAGCCACACCAGCCAGGACTAGCAATGCCTTCTTTATTGATCCCTTCAATGAATACTTCTCAAGGTACCGAGTGGTGTGTCCGGGACACCTGCCTCCTGTGTAGTGGGGGGACCGACATTTGGCAAATCTGGATGCACACAGAGAGAGGTGCTCTGAGGGCGGGAACCTAGTGTAGGACTGTGGGGAAGAGCACAGACTCTGGAGACAGGTGGCCTGGGGTCAGATTCTGACCGTGCTGTTTGCCAGAGGCATGACCTTAAGCAAACCACTGTTTCCCTCTTTACCCGTGTTCACACCTATACAATGGCAGTAACAATGCTACTGGCCTTAAAGGATTATTGAGGGTAAAATGGTGTGTATGTGTGACAGATGGCCTTGGACTACAGCCTGGAACAGGACAAGTAGTATGTAAGTGCTAACGACTAGTAAAGAAGAGAAAAAGAACCTGATAGATACACCTGGCGAGGAAGGTCAAAGACATCTGCACCTTTCCCTGGTCTTCCTGTAATCCATTGTTGTTGTTGTTGTTTTTAATCCTTACCTGAGGATACACTTATTGATTTTAAAGAGAGGGGGAGGGAGAAAGAAACATCCATCAGTTGCCTCCCATATGCGCCCCAACTGGGGAGCAGACCCACAATCTAAGCATGTGCCCTGAACAAGGACCAAACCTGCCACCTTTTGGTGTACAGAATGACTATCCAGTCAACTGGGCCGCCCGCCAGGGCACTGGGCATATATTTTTTAACTAACGTGGACCCTCTTACACTTAGAGTTCTTCAAGTGCCAGGACAAAGTGCTTTGTGCGGGGGAGGGCTGGCCTCGGCCTGGGCTCCTGGGTCAGCCGTGGGCCTGACTGAGCCTTCTGTCTGCCCTCCAGGGGTCCCGGTGCTCCACCTCATCTCCACGCCCTTCCCCTCTGTCTGGCACACGCCCGACGACTCAGAGGCCAACCTGCACCCACCCACAGTCCACAACCTGAGCCGCATCCTCGCCGTGTTCCTGGCCGAATACCTGGGACTCTAGCCTGCCAGGCTGGCCCCAAAGGAGAAGCGTCCAGCAGGGCATGTGACAAGGACACCCAGAGCCAGCAGAGCTGGCCTTGTCCTTTTCAATGCCTTTGGCTCTACTCGTGCTACAATCAGAAGACCCTCTTTCCTCTGATGATCTCAAGCTGCCGCTCCCCAGAGACCTAGAAGAGACTGCTGTGGGGTGAGAGCCGAGGGAATACGCACGTGGGCCCTGCTCTGAGGGAGAAACTGGGCTGAAGGTTTGCAAAGACCAAGTGCTGTTCTCAAGTTTGGTCGGCACACCACAGACTGGCATGTGGACCAGCACCACCCCCAAACCCAGCACGGTCTCTATGGCCTTTCTCTCTGTGGCAGTTCACTCTCCTGAATGGCAGCCTGGCCACAGCACCAGTCCAAACCTAACCCCGACGAGGATGTGCCACATGGGGCACACAGAGGACGCGCTTGGAAGCAGGAACAGAGGAGATGAGACCTGTCCTTGGGAACTCCAGATACCGCAGACCCAGTGGGCAATAAACTAGTGTTTATGCAAAACATACTCTGCAGAACTAGCCTGGTAGGTGTTGCATGAGAAAAGACCAAAGAAGCAGGGTGAGACCACATTAAATGAGTTTCTACAATGCATGATGTGTTTTCAAGCGTAACACAATGCATGTTTCCCCACGTATTTCACCATGGAACCCCTTGTTGGGAAGCACCTCAGAGAACCACAGGTATGTCCGAAGATACTTGGGGAAACATTAGGTTTTAATAGCTTGAGTATGCTTATAGAAAGAACAAGACAGACCAGGAGTCGCTGCAAAATAGTTATACCAACCCCCCCCGTTCATTAGTTGTGCGTATAGGAGTGCAAGATAGTGGCTTTAGCTACAACTCTAGCGATGGCCAGGGAAAGTATTTCCAAACGCTACCTAATTTTCAGACTCAACTAGGGTACTTACGAAAGTACATGCAGACGCCCAGGTTCCACCCAGACCTAATGAATCAGAACTGCAGGGAGGGGCCGGGACTCTAACAAGCACCCAAGGAAACCTTGTGAGCAGCAAAGTTTGGGACGGACCGGCCTTTAATTTCGGCGTGTCCCCAGCTGCGTAGCAAACCTCCGAAGACATGGAGGGTCCCTGGAAAGGGAGCCCTGGGCTGGCTCGGCGCCTGCGGCCTTTGTGACTTGGAGGGAGACCTGGTCGGTAGCAGGGACGCCAGGCCAGGATGGAGGGTTATTACTAGTCGAGGTGAGCATCAGCCTTCTGAGCCAACTCTGGGCTGGAGAAGATTCGAGAACTCATTGGGCAGACACTCCGGATACTGACTGACAGGATAACTGAAGGTTCTCGTTTCACATTCTGCCACAGTCGCTGACATTTGTTGGGTACCCACCACAGGCCAGGCACCAGGAGCACTTTATGTTATATATTCCAACTCGGTCTCCCACAAATCCTGCGGTAGGGGTACTTCCGGGTCTCCTTTTGCAGATGAGGGGGTCGGATCTGAGACTTAGGAACCATTGTTCACGCAGAGCCTAGATTCTCACACACGGCTGTGCCCCTAACCCTGCAATTTACCTCCCTTCCAGAAGTCACCTGTGTGGGACCAACAGGAGATTGACAAGCGACTCCTCCTGAGGCTTTTTATTGGGTGCAGTTAGAGTTGGCTTTGGGGAGGGGTACAGATAGATGACCTCTTAGAGGTGGGATTGGCAGGAGTCCGGAGTTCAGAATGGGTCATCGGCAAACACCAGCCAGAGGGCCTCACACCACAGGGAGATTCCTGTTTGTTCATTTCTTGTGTGGTAGGCATGGTGCCACACACTTAAAAGTGCACCCTGTAGCCCTGGCCGAGTGGCTCGGTTGGAGGATCATCCCATACACCAAACGGTTGCAGGTTGGATCCCTGGTTGGGACAGACCTAGATTGCAGGTTCAATCCCTGGTCTGGGTGCATACAGGAGGCAACCGATTGATGTCTTTCCCCCTCCCTTCCTCTTTCTCTAAAAATCAATAAACATATCCTTGGGTGAGGATTAACAAAATCGATGTGCCATGTCCCCTCAGCCTCGCAGTTGTCAAGTAGATGAGACATCAGCTCCAAGTCCGAGAGGGTAGGCAGTGTGTGCGGCTGCATCCCCAGCCCCATCTCCCCGGGCATCCTGGTGGATGGTACTGCACGCCCGGCCCTGGGTGAGGGGCCTGATGGTTTTTTGTGAATCCGGGGCAAGGATTCCTAGCTCCATTCCACACACGGCTGCTGCTGCTGCTCAACCAGGCATTTTCCCCTCCTCTCATTGGTCCCCCGAGTTTGGGGTCCCTCAACTTCATACTCCGAAGGGGCTACTGTGTGTATGTATTTAGCAGACACACTTGAGTACTCTGGATGTGATGTTTCATGCCAATCTTTTGAGGAGAACCATCAGTGTTCTACTTTTTCAGATTAAGAAACTGAGCTTCACACTGGCTGGTGTGGCTCAGTGGATTGAATGCCGGCCTACAAACTGATTGGTCGCCAGTTCAGTTCCTAGTCAGGGCACATACCTGGTTTGTGGGCCAGGTCCTCAGTTGGGGGAGTGGGAGAGGCAACCAATCAATGTTTCTCTCCGTTTCTCCCTCCCTTTCCCTCTCTAAAAATAAATAAAATCTTTTAAAAAAGGAACAGAAACTGAGCTTCAGAGGAATACATTGCTGGAGAGCACAGAGCTGGATACTCACTGCAGTGTCTAGGTGTACATTTCTTTTCATTTGTCCTACCTATGACTCCCTGGGCTCACTGGCCTTTTCCCAGCCAGGAGTAAAGGAACCCTCATCTTTAAGTATTTTTGTGCTGTTCTCTTCTGATCCTAGAATGCCAATTAAATACTAGACTTTCTCGTCCTGGCTGGCGTAGCTCAGTGGATTGAGTGCAGGCTGGGAACCAAAGTGTCCCAGGTTCGATTCCCAGCCAGGGTACATTCCTGGGTTGCAGGCCATAACCCCCAGCAACTGCACATTGATGTTTCTCTCTCTCTCTCCCCCTCCCTCCCTCTCTTCCCTCTCTAAAAATAAATAAATAAAATCTAAAAAAAAAAATACTATACTTTCTCACTCTGTTCTCTACAAACTTTTTTTTTTTGGTCTCTGCTACTTTTTGGACTTACCTCTGGTTCAGGAAATCATCAGTTGTGTCTAATTATCTGTGTCGCTCAGCCACTGATTTTTAACTTCTGGCTATTACCATATTTTGCTGCGTATAATGCGTTCCTATGTATAGTGTCCACCTACATTGTGGTACTAATTCCCACGTATAATGAGAATTATACGTGGGAATTAGCACTACCCATGTATAATGCACATCCTTATTTTTCCCCTCACAAATTTGGGCCAAACGTGAGCATTACACACGGGTCTATGTGGGCTTTTTCCTTTCATATCTGCTAGGCTGTTACTCAGTTCTGAGTTCCCTGCAGATATTTCCACACTCTTGTTGTATTCTGATCTGCGATGCAGTCTCACCCAGCTGAAGATGCTTTCGCTGCTGCTTCTGCCGGCCCTTGCTCCTGTTGGTTTATCTCCAAGCGTATTCGGTTAACTGTACACCACTCATTGTCTGAAAAGTATCTGCGGGGACTCTAGGTGGCGGCTCCTTCCACTGGAGGATTTATGTTTCTGTCAGACACCTCAGCTGGAAGGATCGCCGACGCAAACCCGAGCCGAGGGCCGGCCTGCGACCGCCAATGTTCAGGTCTGCTTTTCCCTTTCTTTAGTCTCATGCTGCCCTCGATGTTTAGAACACCTCTGCAACCTTCTGGGTCATCCTTACCTCAGCTCGGGGGATCCCATCTCCTAGCAGGTCTCCCACCTTGGGCAGGCACTGGCCTTGACTTCTGCCTGCCCCTGGGAAGGCTACAGACAGGAGACCCAAGTTTGTCCACATCAGTAGCAGCCCTCAGAGCAAAACTGGCTTCGGGGCCCCACAGACTTTTTTCCCTTTACATTTTCAGCTTAGTGTGTCCCTAACTATTTTATTGGCTATTTGATGCTTTTAAGATTTTTTTATTTCCTGTTTTCAGCAGAAAACTCCAAATAATCTGGTCCTCCCTCCGCAGGAAACCGAAGTCCCGGAAAACTAAGCTAAGCTTCAAACCCAGGTCTCTGATTCTAAAATCTAAGCATTTAATAACTACTGTGATCCACCCTAGTCTCTCAGGAAATTCTGGCTCCTGATCAGACTATCCAGGAATGTGAGCTGCCTCTCAGTACCCATCTTCCCTCTTCTTTTATACTTGAGGCTTTTAAATGTCTTAATCTCTCTATACTTAGTAAATAATTAAGTGGGTATTCTAAAACTTTCATTACAGGGATCTTTTTTATTCAGAGTCTTTTATGCTGGGGGCATAATGCAGCTGAAAGACTGCATTTCCCAGTCTCCTCTGCGGCTCTTCCATATGACTAAGTCCGACCTGTGAGAACTATATAGAAGTACAGTGAGTTCGCACTTAACACTGGGGATAGGTTCTGCAACTTTAAGCAAAGTGACGTATAACAAAACGAATCTCACCACAGGCTCACTGATATAAACACGAGTTAAGTTCCTATGTCATCTCATCAATGTTGTAATGAACTGATGTTGATGAGCTGTTACTTGAGGGCCTGCTCTCTGCTGTAGTGCTCCCAGGAGGAAGGGTTTCCCCTCCTGCGAAAAGGTGATGATGGCAGGAGGGCCAGCAGTCCTCTCGGACCAGGAGGACGAGGACCACTGGCAGAGAACGATCCAGTGAGCCGGAAGGAGCCTGGGTTCCTGGCGACTTCGGGGCCACTGGATGCTAAAGAAATAAACACTGCCTTGAAGCTACTACTATTTTGAGATTTGAGTCCAAACCAACACAGATGAAGAGTCAAAAATAATTTCATGCTAAGGATCCTTTTCTCTCAGCCTCTTCCATCTCCCCACGCATGGGCCCGGGGCTCCCTCCCCTCCCAAACCCCCTCCCTGAACAGCATAAAACCAGTCTGGGCCCAGCCTTATAAATACGGATTTTATAGAAAGGACCAATTCAAAACTGGTCAGATGCCACACGCTAGAAGCTTCCAGAATCGTAGGGATGGAAAAATGAACAACAAAAAAGAAGCAGAAACAAAAAACCCAAACAGAACAAACAGAAACAACCCAGACCAAACCGCCTGAAAAATAAAGGTCTCAGTTAACCAGAGGCTTCTAAAGAAACATGAGGCTCGGGGTGCAGACCCCAATGCCTGAACAAGTACCCAGAACAGAAGGGAAAGCAACGCAGAAATTCACACCCACGGTCCCTGCCCACCGGCCCCCCACGCTGTCAAGAGCGAGGCTAAGGGCTTCACAGCTTTTTGGGGGGGGTGATGGCAGTAGCTTAAATAATGGGAGGGGAGAAATTTTTATAGTTCATCTTTTTTTCTCTTCCCCTTTGGGGGAAGTGGAGAGACTGGTAACTTAAAGAGAAAACAGTGATTTTTATTTTTTGATGGGGAAGACATCTAGAAATGGCAGGCTGCCAAGAAACATGCCCAGTCCGATCTGTGATCAGATGCTCCCCGCCCCCTCATTTCTGAAGAGGGGAAGCCTCCACACGGTAGCTGGGGAGAGGTGCCAGCCTTGGGCACTGCAGCCTCTTGCGAGAAAAAACAACTCCAGAGACAGCGAACGGGGGAAGGGCGCGGGAGGGGGCTGGGATGGGGGAACCCTTAAGTAGTACCAAAATTAGCTGCCGTCTGCTCCCTGCTGGTGGGTCCCTGGGGTGTAGAGAGTGGCAGGAAGGGTGCTAGGGCTGAATGCAGAAAAACTTGAGATGCTGATAAAAAAAAACACCCTCCTCAAGGGCCCCAGCCCTGTGTCTGAAGAGTAGAAAACCAATAGGGGTCGATCAGAGTGCTTTCTCAGGGCACCCTCTGTACCTGGGGTCAGTCCTGGAGGGGGGCAACGCTGCCCAGACTGGGGGTACGGGCTGGTGACCCAGTCCTGGCTCTCAGCTCCCCCGGGGAGGGGGCAGGCATGGCGGGCTCTCCCCCTGTGCCCAGCTTCACCTGCCCTCCTCCCGGCCAGCGCGGCCCCCGCCCCCGCCGGGCCCATTGCAGGGCAGCACCCAGTTGTTATCGTGCAGACCCAGGCGGCAGCCGGGTGTCTCGCGGTCGGCCCGGCGGCAGCACATCCAGTAGGAGCGTCCGTAAGGCAGGTCGTGGTGGTAGGGCTTCGGGTGCCAGCGGCAGAGCGACACATCGCCCTTCTCGTATCTCTTGCGGCACTGCTTGCAAGGGTCATCGCGGTAGAGGGGGTCTCGGCTCCAGCGCGAGTCTATGGCCCGTACGCCAAACGCCTCGATGATGCCCTTGAAGTGGTGGCAGGTGCACTTGAGGGCCGCCAGGGCCCGGGTGGGCAGGAAGCTGAAGATCTTGACTAGCACGTGCTCAGGCAGCAGCAGCATGTACTGTCTCGGCTCCAGCAGCCTCTGGATCTTGAAGCGGATCTCGAGGAAGTCGTGTGACACGTGCCGGTACAGGCGGCACAGGGAGGTGTCCGCGGTGCCCTCAGCGTCGTCCGGGCCCGGTGCCGTAGCCGGGGAGTCAGCTGGGGGTGGTTCAGGAGGCCCGTCCGGCCCCCGGGACTGGAGGAAGAAGAGCTGGCCAGGCGGGGGAGGCTCCTCGGGGCTCACTGTGAGGCACACCGTCTCCTCCTTCACATTCTTGGTACCGTCCTTGCCGAAGAAGATGCACTCGTCCACCACGCCTGTCACCACCACGTCCACGTGGAAGCCCGATGCTCCACAGTCCCGGGCAGGGGGTGGAGGGGGAGCAGGGGGAGTGTCCTCAGGCCTGGCGGGGGCTGGGGTCTCCCCTTCGCTGGCTTCATCTGCCCTGGCCAGAAGGAACTCCACGTTGCTGGGGAGGGCGTCCCGAGAGGGACTGATGAGCTGGTACAGGTCGCAGGTGATCTTGTCCTTGGCTCGGGCCCCGGGGCCCGGGCTGCCCGGGTAGGCACAGCCCTGCCGGCCCGTGCTCCCATTGGGCAGGCTGCCATCTGGTGCCCGGGGTTCTCGGCCGTTGGAGATACGGAAGGCAATTCGTACCTCCCCAGGGCCCGGCCCAGGTCGCTCCTCCTTGCGAAGGCCCTTGGCCGGAGGGTTGTCCCGTTGGGCCTCGAAGTGGGCCACTGCCTCAGCCACACGGCTGCAGTCCCCGCCACCAGGCCGCCGTTCAGACCCCAGGCCCTTGGCAGGCCCACCCTGCTCTGCCGACACGAAGACCATAGGCGCTGGGGTGCCGGGGTGTGGGTAGTTCTGCAGGGCGAGAGCGGCCCGCTGTTCCACCAGGGCCACCATCTCAGCCACAGAGAGGAGGTCCACATCCTCCCCAGCTGAAGCTGGGGTCCCCTGAGCAGCAGCAGGCCCCTCCCGGCCCCCTGGGTCCGGTGGAGCTTTCGTAGGCTCAAGACAGCGCCTCCTCCTCTTGGCTTTGGAGCTGTCACTGCCCCAGTGCCCCTTGACCTTCATGGAGCTGGCCCGGCTGCCGCCACCGCACTGGTGGGCCACGAAGAAGGCCACCTTCTCCTTCGTGTTCCCAGGCTTGATAACGTACCACGTGTCCAGCAGGACTCGACCCTCATCGCCGGCAGCTGCGGCTGAGAGGAGCGGGGTGGGCTGAGAGGCTGGGGCCTCCGTGGCCAAGGCGGGTGGTGTGTTCTCTGAGTGGGCAGGCCCGTGGTCTGGCTCGGCTCTGCCGCCTGGCTCAGGGCAGGCTGTCGGCTTGAGGGCTGCGGAAGGCGGGCGTGGCTGGTTCTGTGAGTAGGTGCCAAAGGGCCGGGGGCACCAGAGCTGGAAGGGCAGGAGGCTGCCACGGTCCATTCTGGGGAATGGTGGCAGACAGGCAGGGGTCACTGCATCTCAGGACCTGGATGGTGGTAGGGGACTCCACAGGCCACCTGAAGACAGGAAAGAGAAGGTTGGGGAGCTGGGAGCCTGCCCTTCCAGTACCACCCTAACCTCAACCTCCTCTGATGAACCAACCAAATTACACCACCAAGAACTCTGTTCCTGCCCCATTGCACAGGCAAGCCAATGAAGGGTTGCAGAGGAAGCGGGACCTGTTCTTTTAACACCCACAGTGTGAACAAAGCTGGCAGCTCACTCCACTCCTACAGACCCTACTCCACCGCCCCCCTGCCTTCAATGCTGATCCAGGGGCCTCCTGCTGCCATGGCCCTTCAAAGTCAGTGAAAATACCAACCAACAGACAGACGGCTCCTCCTTTTCCTGTGCTCCTCCTTTTTGTTTGCTCCTCCACAGTAGCCAGTTCCTGAAAAGAGAAGCATTCCCAGCCCTGCCCACAGCTATGGTGACTAAAGCCCACAGAAGAAACACGACAGGCTGGGCGGGGGAAGCCAATCTGAGGCCGGAGCCAGACAGGCCCCGAAGAAACCGGCTCCTCGCTTTGTTCTGCTTGTAGGGCTCTTTCAGGGTTTCTGAAGAGTTGTGTGTCCTCCTCCAGAAAAATGTGTACACTTGCACAACACCGTGCAGGTGGTCCACCTAAGCACACCCACAGACCACTGGGATAAGAAGGCCCGTTCTAGTCTAGCCTCCACTCCGAGCTGCACAGAGACCCAGAGTGTGGAAGGGTTACAGAGTGCAAGACCAGGCCCTCAAACTTGCTTTCTGTATTTTTTAATTCGGCCTGTCTCAATAATGATCGTTTTATTTTGCAACAGTTTTTGGGCATGACCTAATCTGGAGTCAACTCTGCTGCTGAGTCAGACATGACCATTTTCCACTGCAGGGACGGCAGGGAGCATGCCCCTCAGTCTTGATCGGTCCCTGGCCCATCTGCGTCCAGGGAACCAAAGGTCTCTCCACACCTCAGCCCTTCCACATGTCTATAGACCAGATGTCAGCAAACCGTGGCCCTGGGGCCAAATCTGGCCTACTGCCTGTCTTTGCAAATAAAGTTTTATTGAAACACACTTAGTTGTTTATGGCTGCTTTCATGCCACAATGGCAGAGCTGAGTAGTACCAGTGGAGATCATATGGCCTTGCAAAACCTACAACATTCATTATCTGGCTCTTTATGGAAAAAGCTTGTGGACCACTGAAGTATAGATCATCCTGAATACAGGCAATTCCACAAACACCACTAAAAGCTCATCATTTCGTGGTCCTGTAGTCAGCGTTCAAAATCCAAACAACCTTCAAACTCCCGGACACCAGTCACAAAGGGAGCCCTAATCCTAAAAATCCTTACCCCATTACCCCTAATCCCACCTACCACTAAAATACTCACAGCTTCTGCTGGAATTCTAGTTCCTTGCTAAAAGAAAAATCACCATATGGCCCCTAAAACTTATAGATGCCTAAGGTTACTAACCACCGATACATGCAAATGCCCCAAAATGGACACCAACACGGTGAAGGCCATTTTCTATAGACGCTAGCCCTCTCCAACTGGACCGCCTCCTGGAATCCTCTGATCAGTTCCTATCCTCATCTCCAGAATATCAGTGCCCCCCAAAATATCTAGACACTCCCAAACCCCACTTTAAACCTCCAAACCTATAAATATCCCCTCCAGCACAGAAGGCCCCAATCTCAAGGAACCCCTCACAAAAGTCACGCCTACTAAGAACTCTAACATACACAGCAATTTCCCAAACTCAGAGATGCCCCAAAAGACCAGCTTCCCGAGATCCTATATTCACCTCAAACCTCCACATATATTCCCTAATTACACAGGCACCTCTCAAATAGCAAAAGAACTCACTAAAACATAAAAGCTCCCTAACACAATTTCAAACCTTATATGTCTCAGTCAAAAGAACCCCCCAAACACTCCCAAAGAAACCCTACAAGTGTTTGAATAGCAGGCGTGCTTATTGCAGGCTCACTAAGTACTGTTCTAACAATTCCTGCAAATCCTCCCAGTCTCCATAAAGCAGGCTGTGTGTTCATCCCTGTGTCCAGACGAGGCACCGAAAGGTCTGACTTCAAGTCTGAAGTCAGATAGGTAGGAAGAAGTCAAGAGAAGCGGAGCCCAGGCAGTTTGGCTCCCGAATTGGTACTCGTGGAGTCTACGTTGCTTCTAAGTCTCTCTGTGAGCTCCCCAAGTCATATACACCAAACATCCCAAACCACAAAGGAGGCCCCCTACAAAACACAGAACCTACCACATTACAAAAGAAACCCAAATCCAAACCCTAAGGCGCCTTCTAAACTCAAGGGAAGTGTCCCCCAAACGCATGCAGACACTTGCCCAAGGCCCAAAATACTGCTTCAATAGAAAGGGAACCCCCAAATTTTGTAACCGCCCTGGAATTCGCCAACCCCCTCAGACCACCCTCAAAGGCTTGACACGCCCCCACGGCACCCTCACCCGCGAGCCCCGCCCCCCCACAGCGGGAGACCATGGCGACCCAACCACACGCAGGCGCAAGAGAGGGAAGAGGGCCCGCCCACCTGCTCATTTCCTCTAGCAGCAGCGCAGGCGGGAGCACGACTAGTTTCCCTCCGCCCCTTTGTTGACAGATTCGCGCGTGACGCCCCCAGCCAATGAGCGGCTGCCATTCAGGGTCGTGCCCATATAAGGAAGGCCTTGGCCGAGGGGCCCAACTTCGAAAGAGGGAGGAGTAGGCAAGAGGTGACAAGGAGGTGTGGAAACAGCAGCGTGTAAGAAAGCGTGGAACAACTCCCAACTTCCTGCTAAAAGGAGGAACCGGGCCAGGACGGAGGCCACCACATTCAAGGAGATGTTTATTACAGGACGTTCCCTCGAAGCAGGAGCCCTGATTGACAGTTGAGATTTAAAGGTCCAAGCAGCTCTGGGACTGAGACTCCAGGGCGGAAGGAAGCAAGCAGAAAGATCTAAGAGTGCCCAGCTTTGGTCGGGAACCTTGGGGGCCGAGATTTCCTGCGGTGAGAACTGGACAACCAAAGAGCAGAACGCTGCAAAGGCTACCGCAGCACTGAGTCCAAGCCTCTAGGCATGGCATTCAAGGCTCAGGCCGTGTGGCCCAAAGAGCCTCTCTGTCTAGCCTTACCAATTAGGCACTCAAATCTGACTTACACTCAGTACTAGAAAAGAATATGAAACATCTAAATAATGATTTCTAAATACTGATCACCTGTTCAATTAACATTTATATAATTTAGTTAAATAAAATACTTCAAATTAACTTAATCTCTCGTTTGACCTTTTTTATGTGGCTACCAGAAGACTTTAAATTACACATATGGCTAGCATTATATTTCTATTGAACAGTGCTGGTACTGATCCTTTCAATGCCAGGCTGATTGAAGAGACACTCAGAGGTGCCTCTATTGCAGGTGCCTGTCCAGACATCACTTACTCCCTGACCACCCTGCCCCAGCGTTACCTGCTTCCAACCACCCCACACATCACCACTGGAAGGTCTTAAGGCACAAACCTGACCCTGTCCCTACCCAGTTCAAAACATGCCACGACACCCCAGTACCTTGGGAAAAGGCCCAGGTACCTCCCTGATCCAGGCTCATCCCTCCCTACTCCTCCACCCCCAGGGGACCCACGTGGGCGCTGCATCTGGCATAGAGAGTAGTTAGAATACCCAGCCTTGTCTGAGGCTCAGTAGCAGCAGTAGTGTAGATAACAGTATCATCTACACTATATGAAGAAACTGAGGCAGGACAGGTGGACTAACCAGGCCAAGGTCACAGACAACTGGTGTGACTGGAGCAAGGGTGTGAACCCAGGGAATCTGATTCCAGATTACGGTGCTCTCTTGTTTCACTATATATTCTCTGGGGTCTCAGCTCAGCCACCCTCTCTTTCCAAGATGCTAACCCCCCCAGGCCGGGTAAGGCTCCAGCTCTGGGCTCCTGCCCTGGCCTTGCTATGGATACTGGAGTATCCCAGCTCTTTCCTTCCATGGCCTTTGCATTTGCTGTTCCTGCTAACTAGAATGATTTTTCCCCAAATTTCCATATAACTCAATTCCTTACTTCATTCCTGTCTTTGCTCAAATGGAAGTTTCATAGGGAGGCCTTCCCTGAGCCCCATTCCTGGAAACTACCCACCTGCCCGAGGGGGACCCTTGGGTTCCCTTGTCCCAGCCCTGCCCACTCTGGGTCATAACTGCTTAAAGGTGGGTCAGTCTCCTCCACTGACCTGTAAACCCCTTGGGGGAGAGGAGGAAGGAAGGGACAGAACCTTTATGGTCATCATGATGTCCCCAGAAGCACTGCCCAGCATGGGACCAGACGAATCAAAGCTCCCTTCCCTGCAGCTCCATGTCCTTAACTTCACAAGGCCTTGGCAGGGGAAATTCTGTTTCACAGCTAGGTCTGTCTGTGTTCTAGCCGGAGGGGTCACTGGGGCAGAATCTTCTAACTCCTCACACACTGAGCCCAGGACAAGGCCCTACACTACTAGATCAGCTTTCAGAAAATGCTCCACAAAGATCCACTTATTATAAAACATCATGACACAGAAAGACCGAGAGTAAAAGATGGAAAAAGACTGACCAAGCGAACACGAACCAAGAGACAAGTGGAGTGACATTACCACTTAGACGAATATAATTGACAAATGCAAAAGGCATTATTACAGACCAAGGTCGTGACAAAACAAACTTAACCATTACTTATACAAAAGGGTTCTCAACATAAGTGCCACTAAGATAGAAACTTCAAATAAGCATCATGTCATAATTTGGCCTCAGAGTGGAAACAAACAGTTTTGACTTTTAGAAAAACCTACTTGCCCTGGCTGGTGTGGCTCTGTGGATGGAGCGCCTGTCTGCAATCCCAAAGGTCACCTGGTCCATTTCCGGTCAGGGCACACGCCTGGGCTGTGGGGCAGGTCCCCAGGTGGGGGCTCCAGAGAGGCAGCTGATCAATGCATCTCTCAACACATTGATGTTTCTCTCCCTCTCTTTCCCTCTCTCTAAAAGTAAATAAATAAAGTCTTAAAAAAACAAAATTTAAAAAGCTGTGTACATTAATTTATTGGTAGTAAAATAAGAGAAAAATAGATACTCGGTGATCTAAATTAAAAATTCAGAACACATACACACATGCACACACACACTCGGGACAGGTGCTAGAATGCACTTTCAACAATTTTTAGGGCCGTTTTGATGAAAGCATCATGAAAATTAGTCTTAATGAATTCTTTATTGAATGTCTAAAACATAGTATAATACACAAAGTGTTCCTGCCACTGAATAGTCTTTGATAAGAGTTTAATTGCAAAATAAAAATAGTAAATGCTCCTAATACTATGGCCTCAAAAATAAATAGAGCAAAAAACATGACAAAATTCGGCACATCCGTAATTGTCATGAGAAACCTCAACATATCTCTCTCCATACAGATCGGTTGAAAGGATGAAATCAGCAAGCACCTGCTCCACACAGTAGCGCCCTTGATGGAATGCCCCCAACAACAGGAGAAGCCACGTTTTACATCCCTAGTCTGATATCCAGAGGTCCTCCTGCGTGCTGGCCCCGAGTCGGGCGCTCGGGACAAAGAGATGACACTGAGCTCACCAGGAAGAGCTCATGGGAAAGGAGGCAGAAATCCAAATAAACAGTCATCACCAACAAGAATAAATTAGAGAGAAAACGATGACCACAACAGCCACTATCCCTTGTGAGCCGGGCTTTGCTTAAGTGCTCTATAAATATTAACTCATTCGATTCTCCTATCTCACTATTTTTAATCTCACGTTAAAGATTAGGAAATGGAGATGCAGAATGGCTAAGTAATTGGCTTTGGATGCAGCTTTGTGGCGGAGCTTTGGATCAAACGGGCTCGGCTGTCTCCAGAGCACAGTCGCCCAGTGCACCGAGCACTTGGTGAGGATCATCTTGTTCAGTCCTCAGGGCCTTTGCACTCCCTGCCCCCCCCCACCCCCCAGGCAGCCCTTCCCTCACGTGAGCCTAAGGGCTCACCCCCTTAGTCCCCCAGGCGTGACTCACAAGTCACCTTCCCGACACCTTCCTTCATTTAAAACTGCAGCGCACCCCTCTCCCCACAACAGATACACACCCTCTCCTTCCCCTGTCCTGATTTAGATCTCCTCCTTCCCACGCACTGCTATATAATATACTATAAACTTTGTTGATAAGTTTGCTGTCGGTCTCCCCCTCGCTAAAATGAAAGGTCCCCCAGGGCCAGTTCTTCTGTCTGGTTTTGTCACTGCTATGCCGCAGCCTTTAGAGCAGCTCTGAGCGCCTGGCTGCGTAAGTGCAGTCCCAGGGCGAGGTCCTTGGGAGCGTCTGTTAGACATGCTCCGGCCCACACCTGCTGAGTAAGGACATGATCTGCCACAAGATCTTGAGGGCACTGGAATGCATACTTAAGTTCAAGAAACAATGCCCTTAGCACCTCATAGGTGTGCAATACATATCTGTTGGAATTAATGAACGAAGTTCTGAAACAGCCATTCATTCAGTACATGATTTATTTGGGGCCTCTCGTAAAAACAAAAAAACAAAAACAAAAATACAGCTGGTTCCAGCCTCAGCCAACAGGCCTAGGCCTGGGCCTGGGTTGGGACCCAGTCCCAGGTCCCCGGCAGGGGCGTGCATGGCAGGAGTGTAGGCAAGAGGAAACCGATTGGTGTTTCTCTCCCTCTCTTCCTCTGTCTCTTCCCCTCACTCTAAAACGAAATAAATACAATCTTTAAGAAGGAAAAAACCAAACAGCTGGTTCCAGCCAAGTCCACCTGTGGAAATCCTGTCCCCGAGATGAAGATGTCCTCGAGCCCTCCCAAGCTGCACAGAACCCTTTCCTCCCAGGGCCTCCTCTTGCAGGACCTGGCACTGCTGAACCTCAGCACCTCCTCTCCACCCTGCGGGTTTCTGGAAAGCTGGGACCTCTCCTGCAAGGCGCAGCTGCTCCAGCCTCCACACTTGGCTCGCCGGGAGAACGCAGCTCTTCCAGCTCTGTGCTAGCCAGGGAGAGCTTTCCAAACACAAACCCGGCCCTATCACTCGCCCGCTTAAAACCCTTCCATGAGAGGTGCAAGTTCACAAAAACTACATGCCCAAGAACCCTTTGTCAGGAAGCTATTGGAGGACTTGCTTCCCCCAAATGAAGTAAGCCAAGGAAAAGGACATCAGTTCAGGGAACTACGATCTAGTCCCCAAAAAGGGGGCAAAGGAATCCCAGGTGAAGGCAATCCCAGGGGGATTGATCCCAGAGGGAAGAATCCCAGGGGGAGTCTAGGGGGATGGCTGAGGACCCAGTCTAGGGAAGTCTCCAAAAATGCACAAAGACAAGGAGAAAGGCAGACAATTAACGAGCTAGGCGTGAGACTTAAGATGTGGGAAACAACATCAATGGGAAATAACATCAATGGAAAAGCAAAGAAAGAAGAAAGGACATGGTAAAAGTGGATGTCTGACCCCCCATGCTGAGTCAGGTGACACCCCTTCCCCCGCCTTGGGGTGCCTCCATCCCAGGAGCTCTGGGCACATGCTTACTCACACTCACACAGGAATCGGTGGCAGGGCACCATGGCCGTGTTCCTGTTCCTTGTGTCCCCAAGCCTCTCAATACCCCCAACCCACCCCGCCACCACCCTGCCCACAATCCTGACCCATCCGCACCCTCATCTTGGCTTTTGGGCCTCAGGGTCTACTGACCTCTTTCCCTGGCAAGTTTTCCTTCCTGTTAGCTAGCTCCTTAACAGTAGGAATCATGTGAATCCAAACCATCAGGATCTGGGGGTCCAGGATGCGGACAGCCTCCAGGAAGGGCCTACCAGCACCCCCTGCTCACACTTCTGGGGGAAGTGACCTCAAGCAGGATGCTTAACCCTCCATGCCTCAGTTTTCCCCCCTGTAAAATGCAGATCCTAATAGCGCCCACCCATGGGCTGGTTGATGACTCGCTGAGATCAACCCAGGAAAGTTATCAGTGCTAACCAGGCAGCAAGGAAAGCCTCATTATGCAGGCGCTGGGATTTATTAAGAAAAAGTAAGACTACCTAAGAGTTTGGAAATCATTGACCAAGCCAAAAGCTTCTGCCCTCTTTGTTTCACATTTTGAAATCAACTCGAACCTAGTCCCTCACAATAACCCAAGTGTGGCCATTCCTTTGTTATGGTTGGTTATTGGATGTCTCTTGTTAATTGAACAGATATTTACAGAGCCGCTACTGTGTGCCAGGCACTGTTCCAAGCATTGGGGCTACGCAAGGAAAAGGAGAACAAAATCCTCATCCTCCCAGGGCTGACATACTAACTGGAGAGAGGGACGATGAACATATAGTAAGTTTCAAGGTGGCAAGTGCTCCGAGGAACAAACAGCGAGTAAGAGGGGTCGGGAGTATAAGGGGGAAATTACGATCTTACGGAGTCAGGGGGGCATCACAAAGCAAGTGCTGAGCCATCTTTTTAGAACACCTGTTTAGAACAGCCTGTGCTTTTAGGGGTGCTACGGCTTTAACCACAGCTGCCAGAAACACAGCATTAAAAACGGTAAAAATACCATTTTGTACAAGAAAGCTTCAGACAAGCACAGGCTGAAAATACACTTAAGATTTTAAGAAAAGGCAAAACAACTCGGAAAGCAGATATGTTTTCTAAGAGAAACAGATAAAGGAAAGGGGGGAAGAAAGTGTCGCATCGCCCCCGGGTGTCCAGATGTGACACACAGGAATAAGGATGAAAGCGGGATTGGCAACTTCTCCCCAAAGCAACACGAGTTCAGATAATTCACTGACCATTGGAGGCAAATGTGAAAAACGTCCATGTGAACAATGACGAGCAGGCAAAGCTGGCACGAGGGGCTGACAATGAGTCACCCACACCTGACAAACGAGCACAAGTGCCACCAGAGCTGCAAAACTGCCCCAGTGCTGTGACAACAGGACGCTCCCCAAGGGCAGGCCCTGGCACACAGTAGGTGCTCTCACAATGCTGCGGACTCCTCAAGAAATAAACTTACATCTTCCAGAAGAGGAAACTGAGGTCCAGAGGGGTTAAGTGACTTGCCCAGAGTCACACAGTTGGTGGGTGACAGAGCCGGGATTCAAATCGGGATGTTCTGGTTCCGGAGTGCATGCTCAATACATTTTTCTTGAAAGCATAAAAATCATTAAAAGACTGCACACTTATTAAGGGCTTTATAAGCCCTAGGCACTTCATATGTTAACCTCATCAACTCCTTACCAGAGCCTCATAGTCGGAATGTAGCCCCATTTTACGTATGAGAAAACTGAGGCCCAGAGTGGGAACCCCACTCGGCCAAGGACACACAGCAGCAGAGATGGGGATTTGAAACTGGACCTATTTGATACCAAAGTGTTCCTATCAGAGTCAGAGAGTTTATGTGATAAACTCAGGACCAGACTGTATCACGATGCGTTACAAAGTTGCCGAATTGCCCGGTGAGGCCCTAATGTCCAAGAGGTGGCTGGAGGGGAGGTGGGTAAAAAAAAAAAAAGAAAATACAGTTGTAGAAATATTTCCTATTCACTGAAATACCTGGAGTTGGGCCAGGCTGGGCATTGGCAAGTGAATTATTTACATTTGGCTGGAGATACAGATGGGAATGAAGACAGATTGAGTTTCTGAGCACCCCCTTGGGGAGTCACCTTGGGAGCCCAGGGGTAGAGGATGGGGAACCAGAAGAGTCAGTATATGGCAAGGGGGTGGGGGTGACCTGGGAGAGAAAGGAAAGGAGGAGGCCTGGCTGATGTCTCGATCACTAGTACCTCTCTACTGCCTTCTCTCTCAGGGCTGTTTCCCATTCATGTTTTGTGTTGTTGTTTTTTTTTTAATTACAGCTCATGTACTGAGCACTCACTCTAAGCACTTTACGTGCTTACCTCTGTGAACCTTTCTTATAACCTTCCTAGGGGTGCTGATCCCATTCCATAGTTGAGGAGAGGCTAAAACACTTGCCCAAAGTCACACAGCAAGTAAAT